ACCTAGCTTGCTCAATTAAGTGCCTAGAGGCACCCCACCTGCCCTGAGTCACTCAGCTTTACCTGCTCTGGGAAGCCCACCGCTCAGTCTTGTTCTCTGGCTCTTGCTTCTGCTACTCCTCTTCCACTCCTCACAGTGTCACAGTGGGCTGAGGAGGTTTATTATATACAAAGGTTTTCTGGGTTCTGAGATGGCTGTTCATACCCATGTTAGAGTTCCATGTTTTGACAATTCCAGTGAACTGCTTGCAATCATTCACAATTGAACCTTATTATCCTATGATTATCGTCTCCCACCTCCTCTTACTCAGATCCATCAGGAAAAAGATTGAGGGAGTTTACGAAGACTATGGCTAACCGGTTCAAACCCATCATCCACTTCTTGGAAACCCTATACAGGGTCACTATGAGTCAGAACTGACTTGGCAGCACTTAACATCAACAACATGGAAGAGACATTGAACAATACACGACACCATATCAGGGAACTAACAGATTACAATTCTGGATCAGAAATGTCTCAGGATCTAGCTATTCAGTCTGGACAGCTGTTTCTCAGCCATGCCCAAAGGCAGAGTTCTCTCTGGCCTCGCCCTCAGTCCTTCGTGTCTCTGCCCTGCTCAGGAACCTGATACAATGCTCTGGCTCCACTGGAACCTTAGGCCCAAAAGACACACTCCTCTCCCTTTTCTTTTTCTTGGTTCTAGTCAGGTCCCCTATTTCAACTCTGGGATGGCTCTAACAAAACTGACCAATCTCTTCTTAGCATTCCCTTATTTGCTTGGTCTTAAACCCCATAGGGAGTCCTGGTGTGGTGCTGTGGGTTAATGCACAGACTGCAGGGTCAGTGGTTCAAGTTCACCAGCCACTCCTCAGAAACCCTATACAGGGTTGCTATGGGTCAAAACCAACTAGAAGGTATTTAACAACAACAACCCCCATAGAAGTTCCATATACTTTATTTGCCTTATTAACAAGCTGCCCAATCCTCTTGGGTAGGCCACAAGCACTTTATTTGCATAATTCCACCTAGTCATTTGGTTTGTAGTTAAGTGCCGTTGAGTTGGTTCCGACCCACAGTGACCCTGTATAAGGTTTCTGAGGAGCAGCTGGTGAGCTTGAACTGCCAACCTTGCAGTCTGGCGCATTAACCCACAGCGCCATACCAGGACTTCAATCAGTTGGTGGTAGTTATAAAATCTTGGCAAGGAAGGGCATGTTAAAGTGATCCATCAGGCCGCACCTAGCTATACCTCCCTGGATTCGCAATCAACACTCGTGTGAGCAGCAGCCAGGAGATAAAATGTGTTACACTTAGGGAATCTGCTGTACAAGACTTCTTTAAGCTGAGCACATAAACTCAGTTTGAGGACTAAGGTGCATCTGACCCAAGCTATAGTATTTTTAATCACCTTAGTCAGTTTGAATTGCAACGTCAGCAGTTCAAGCTCACCAGCTGTTCCTTGGATCCTCTACAGGGTCACTGTGAGTCGGAATACTTAACAGATGCATGTGAAAGTTGGACAGGAAGACCATAGAAAAACCCATGCATTTGAATTATATTGGAAAAGAATATTAAAAGTACTACGGACTGCCAAAAGAACAAACTTCTGTGTTGGAAGAAGTTGGGCCAGAATGCTCCTTAGAAGCCAGGATGGTGAGAGTTCGTCTCTCAGACTTTGGCCATGTTATCAGGAAGGGCCAGTCCTGAGAAGGACAGCATGCTTGGTAAAGTAGAGAGGCAGTGAAGAAGAGGAAGACCCCACCGAGATAGGAGCAGGCAATGCTTCGTTCTTTTGTTCTCAGGGTTGCTATGAGTTGGAACGGACTCAGCTGCACCTACCAACAACAGAGAGCCCATGTCCATCTCAAGGGACAGCCAGTGCCATGGGGTATTTGAGCCCTGGATGGCCAGTTTCCAGTTTGTCAAGAAATTGTAAATCTAATTTTTATGGAAAATATTCTTAGTTTCAGATGTCAGCAGTTAAGAAAATATTTTTTAACTGACTCTGGAATCCAAAAAAAGTTATCCAGTGGCTGATTTGGACTCACAGGCCACCAGTTTTCAGGCCTTTCTTTACAACAGAAATAATGAGTCCAGCCTGGCTGGGCCAGAGAGCTAGCAATGTCCAGGAGAGTGGTGGAAGAAAGGTTTACGTGGTAGAGCCAGAGAGGGCTTGGCCTAGTGGAGAGCAGTCAGTTCTGCAAGACTGTGACGTATGCGTTCTTTAAAATCCCCAGGCTGTGCTACAGTGAGCAGTAAAACCACAGGTGAAAGTGGGGTTCGTGGTTTAGCCCTCAAAAGCTTTGTCAATGACACATTAAAAATCAGGTTTAAACTTAATGAAAACTGATTTTGAGACATACGATGGCTGAGAAAGATACACAATAAATGGCTGAGAAAGAGATTAAATATACGTGACCCTTTGCCTTGAAAAGGACCTGTAGTTTACTGGTGGAAGAGGGTTTTGTGGAATCCGAGGGAAAGCTGTGATACTAAAATAATGAACTCTAAGGTAGCTGTTGTGTTTGAGGTGTGTGTGTATTCTTGCACAGGTAATTCAGTTGGGTTTTATTTTTTACATTTACCTAGTGATTTTCATGAAGAAGTTCTGCGCAATAAAACGTGAAGATTCATATTATGTTCAAATTTTTCCCTAATGTATCAGTTGCATTAGAACAAATTTGTCTTTTCAAAGCAAGCATTACAGCACAGCTGACTGTCTATAGCCAGGCTGTGAGAATACGACAAACCTTCTTACCTTGCTCCCAACCCTGCTTTATTTTTTTCAGAACTCCAGGAGTATGGACATTTGATCCAAGCAAATAAATAAACAAAATTTGCCACTTCTACCCAGGGAATATAAACTTTAGTGAGTTTTGGGTTTGTTGTTGTTAGGTGCCATTGAGTCGGTATGGTTTTGAATCTCATTAAATAGGAATCTTCCTGACTGGAAGGCATTTAACAACCACCAGTTCTAATACCAGCCCTCCTTCTCCCAGCACTTACTACTCAGCTGGGTTCAATAATTCATTGTTGTTACGTGCCGTAGAGGCAGTTCCAACTCATAGTGGCCCCATGTAGGGTTTCCAAGACTTTAAATGTTCCCAGTAGTATAAAGCCTTATCTTAACTCCCACGGAGCGACTGGCGGTCTTGAACTGTGGATCTTGTGGTTCACAGTCCAGTGCTTATCATATGAAGTCATTGCCACACAGAACTTAGATACCATAGTCACAGTTACGGGGTTTAACAGGTTACAATTCAGGATTGGAAGGGCACAGTTTTTGAGTCAGGACAGTCTCTTCCCAGTCGTGCCCACCAACAGGCCTCTCTCTGGTCTTGGCCTCTCAGCCACAGGCCCTTTGGCCTCAGCTCTGTTCAGGCAGTGTTGCTGATAAATGACCAAAAGGCACTCCAGTCTGCTAGAAGCCTCAGTCAGAAGGCGCTCCTCTCTAACTTCATGGGTCAGCAAACCAAACTCCCCAGTTAAGTACCTGGAGATACCCAGTCCCCACGTGAGCTTCCTGTCCAAAGACACACAACTTTACTTTACTCAGCAGGCTGAGAAACCCACCACTCTGCCTGTGCTCTGGCTCTTGGTTTGGCGGCTGCTCCTCTGATGTCATAGCTCTGTCTTCTGGGTGGAGGAAGTTTAATGCACAGGAATCTCAGGGTCCAAAAGCCACCCGCCGCTTATGACTCTTCTTTCTTTTTGATAGCGAGACCCCTGTGGCTGTTTCTGAGATGACTGGTTGTGTACACGTTGGAGTTCCAAGTGTTTATAATTACAATTAACTATGTAATAACCATTCACAACTGAATCATATAATCCTATCTGCATCTTCTCCCACCATCTCTTACCCAGACTCAGGAAAAAAATTAATTTGGTGGGAGTACCAAAGACTGGTTAGAAGAGCCATATCAAAAAATTGTCCACATTGCTCTTATGTCATTTAAAAATATATGCATTTATACATATACATATATATATGTATACACATACACACATATATAGGTTTACAGATTCGATCATTGGCAAAGTGATTGTATTAGATTCTGTGTTGATTGTCCAGACCTTGCAATTCCATTTCACAAAGTAAGAGACTGTCAAGGAGTGACAGAGATGCAGCACATCTGTCCTTGTCCAGGTCCTAGAACAACAACCGCAAGAGCCCCATTTGTAGTGAGGACCTACTGGTATCCTGGGGTAGAGCTTAGGTACAGCTCCAAGATCAGGGCACATGAACGAGGAAAGGGGCAGGACAGGGACTAGGACCGCTTCAAAGAATTTCCTAAGTTGCCATAAGAGAGGTTGCTCATGCTAGAGCAACTATTTTCATCACAGGTGATGCAGGTAATCAGAGACTCAGGGTGGGGTCGGGGGCTTGACTGCTGGGAAGGGGTCAGAGTTAGAATTTCTCCACAGTCATGCCTGCTGCCTGCAGTGCATCCCGCAAGGTTTTACTGCCTTCTCTTTTTGTGCCAGGCCCTGTGCTGTCTCTGAGTCACACTTGGTCTGTGCCTTAAAAACCTCAGAATCAGGAGGTGGTGGAAGCAGGCTCAGTCAATGGTGAGGCAAGTATACGTCAGAAAGGGACTTCCTAGGTTCTTTCAGCCTAAGCCAAGGTTATTTACCAACCCTTCATTCAAGCAGTCATTCCCAGGGGTTTAGATTTTGTGCATCAGTGGTGCTTTAAAAAGTTTGATTTGCCCATATTTTTTCTTAGGCTAGGTCAAAGATGTTAACTCTTTTTCAAGTGAAACCTGTCACCTATTATTATATTGCCTTCATTTCATAGAAGAAGGGCATTTTACTTCTAACGATGGGAAACATATAATAGTAGAATAAAAGTTGCCTTTTGAAATTACCTTCTGAACTGAGTATTGTTTTTGTTCTTTTTCTCATTTCACCATGGACTTGAGTCACATTCGCTGAGGACTGTTCATGCCAGGGTACAGGGTGTCTCTAGAGAGCAGACTCCATGTTGTGTCTTGTAGATTGTGACAGACCAACAGACAGGACAGAAGATCCAGATAGTCACCGCAGTGGATGCCTCTGGGTCCCCCAAACAGCAGTTCATCCTAACCAGCCCAGATGGAGCTGGAACGGGGAAGGTGATCCTGGCTTCCCCAGAGACCTCCAGCACTAAGCAGCTCATATTCACCACCTCCGACAACCTCGTTCCTGGAAGGATCCAGGTAAGGGCTGCTGAACAGGCATTCCTGTCAGCACTTTTGCTGCTGAATTGTTCCTGACTCTTACCTCTGCTTTAAGGCCAAATTCATCCCTAGACGGTCCCAACCTGAAAAGTTGGCAAGTTGTTGCTTTGACAAACATGAAAAAAAGAAGAAGAAACAGTAAATGAGTGTCAAGGCCCCTAGGATAGCCAAGTGTGGTGCTCAAAGGGGATGGAGGTTGAGCCAGCAAAAATCAGTAGCCCACAGGAGATTGACCACGAGCAAGCCAGCACTGAGGCCACTGGAGAATTCTTCCTATCTGAGGCCCCATGGGGACAGCCCTGGGCTCACCACCTAGGGCTGTTCTCACCTATACCTTGTCCAGATCTGCAAACTTGGCCCTTAGTATTGGTTGTGCTAGCCTTGGTTCCCTCAATTCTTGCCTCCATCGCTGTCCTGGTTCTCCCATATCTCACAGGGAGGGGTAGGACCAGGTACAGGGTAAGCAGAAGTTCAAGGAGCATTCAGCCAGCTTTTGGAGGGCAGCAGGGTTGCTGCTCGGCATGTTTTTTAACAAAGAGACTAGAGACTTAAGGCCAGTGTCCCATTGTTTAGTCAGGGTCACATGCTTTCTTTGGGGCTTTCTACTATGGAGTCCTGGTGTGTGGCACTATAGGATAAGCATAGGACTGGTAACCAGTAGGTCAGCAGTTTGAACCCACCTGCTACTCCTTGGAAGCTCTGTACAGGGTTGCTATGGGTCTGAACTAATTCGTTGGCACTTGACAGCAACAGCAACTGTGGAGCAACTTGAGAAGGAAAGAATTCTTCCTTCTGATAGAGCTAGCTTCAGAATGCCAAGACATCCAGCTTTCAGAACTATACTTTTGAGGCCCCTTAATGCTATACTTAAGGAACCCTGGTAGCATCGTAGGATAAGCACTGGAGTGCTAACCGCAATTCAGCAATTCAAACCAACCAGCTGCTGTGCAGGAAAAAGATGAGGCTTTCTGTTTCTGTAGTAAAAATTTACGGCCTCAGAAAAACTATACAGGGTTGCTATGAGTCGGATCCAGCTGAGTTGCAGTGAGTGGTTTTTTGGTGTACTGCAGTTAGTAAACATTGTCTCCTTCATTTCTTAGATTACACTCCAATCTGAAGTCAGAATTCCTCCTCGTTTGTGAAAAGATGGTTTTAGATTTTGTTGCATGTTTCACAAGATGTGATTTTACATAAAATATTTCCAGCATACATCAAATCATTTTTAAAGCTTACCATTAGCTTGAATTTAGACACTTTTTCATAACAGCTGTTTTTTTCTTCCCATTTTCATATGATACCAGTTACAGCCTCTCTGAGATGAGTAGCACTTTTGCCCTCCAGGAAATTGGTACAAATGACGAGGTTTCAGAGACCACCTAGTCCAGGCTTCCCATCTCCAACTGACTGAATGAGAAACCTACTTCTTCCATGAACAGAGCATGGCTGTTGGGTAGTTCTTTATGCAAATACACCTCTTTGCATACTTTTCAAGTTGTTTCATGGAAATAGACTGCCAAAAGACCATAAATATCTACATCTGTGTCTGGTTTCCCACCCGACCCCAATCCTGGGTTGCTGAGGTGACCAGATAATAGAATAGAGAGAGGGGGATTCTGCTTGTCTCTGGGAAATCAACTGCTGGAAGGGCACAGTCAGTGAGCAGCAGGGCCACCTGGGGGAGCAGATCAGGCTGGGAGGGGGAATTTCCTACTTGTTCTGCCCCAACTCCCTGCTTTAGAAACAAATGTAAGATTATGAGTTTACAGTTAAAGATCACTTTGCTAAGTGACCTCGTTTTTAATCAGCACTTTGATTCTGTTTCCTGATTTCTTCTTAGATCGTCACGGATTCTGCTTCTGTTGAGCGTTTACTTGGGAAGGCTGACATCCAGCGGCCCCAAGTGGTGGAGTACTGTGTGGTCTGTGGAGATAAAGCCTCTGGTAAGTAACACAAAGTCGTGAACCAAACTGGGATTGGGATGGGACAGTAGTTAACTAAGAGAAAAAAACATTTTCTGTGAGCCAAAATGTGATGGTCACTTTTACTACTGGAGTAGCAAAGTAAATAAACAAGTTTGTCTGGTTATTAAGATCAAAAGGAAATATCAAGGAGTTATTCTGTGACTTTAAATATTGGCTAAATGTAATAACATATAGTTATTTACACACTCCTAAGAAAATCATGCTTTCTTAAATCCAGTTAATATTTGCACAGTGCTTTGTTGTTTCACAAGATGAGTTATTTGTATAATTTTTCTTCATCCAAACTGTACTTCTGTCCATATAATCCAGTGTGGTAAACTTGTTCTAGTGGAAGAGGAGGGAGCATGTGGTTCTGGCCAAGGTCCAGGGTCAGCAGAGGCTTCCTGTGGTGGTTGAGTGTGCACATGTTGGGTAAAGCAGAAGGGTGTTCTAGCTAGTGAAATGCAGACCCAGAGAGCTGACTGGTCGTACCCATGGTTCCCTTGGTGAAGGGTTCATGGGCTTGTGTGCAAGGAGATGTTTCACCCAAAAATTCAGGCCAGAGCTGTAAAGGCAGGTAAGGGAAAAGATGGGAAAGCACTGACAAGGACAAAGCTCAGTGATTCAAGGGCCACAACCTGCATTCTGTAATAGCTGCTTGGTTCCACTTTATTTTGTAGTCACAAAATTCACAGGAGTTTCGGAGACATTGTGGTGCTGCCTTGAAAAAGAGAGACCACGCCTCTTAGGAAGATAGCTCCAGGCAAGCATGTACAGCAGATTCCTTCAGCTTCCCCTAAAGCTGATGACACCAATCCCTTGTCCTGGTAAACCAACTGTCTGCCCCTCTCTGAAGCCCTCACCTCGTCACCTGTCACCTCTCCTACAGAGAGACAGTGGTGCCTCTGGTCATGATCAACGGACACAAGCCTTTTTGTACGGAGCTCTCTAGGAATTTGTCACACTGTCTTATGATTATTTCTAGGTCCACCTCCCCTTACAGGGCTGAGAAATACCATGCTACGCACCATGTCTGTATTCCCATTTCCTTGCTCATCAAGGAGGACACATTCAGCAGACTGTTCACTAAATGAAGCGTGAACATACAGAGGCCACAGAACCTGCCTGGCTTCCCCACTTGACAGTCTCCTGGCCTTATGGAACGGCCTAGTCAAAGGCTCTCCTTTGCCATTGTGTCAGGATATGAGAGGTCACACTAAGGGAGAGAAAATTTAAGAAAATAGACTGCAAGGAAAGGAAAAACAATGCACACAAAAGTAGCATTAGCAAGACAGGTTTGCTTTTTGTTTTTTCAGTTATTTAGCAAAAATTTATTTTTAACTGTGTAACAGGCTCCAAGACGACATTTCATTCTAACTGTCATTGGCCACAGACGTTAGAAAAGGCATATCGGACCACCATCACTTCAGTCACAATGCACAGCTTATTTTCTGTCAGATTTATTGATTTCACAGAAATGCTTCCATGCAAACTTCACTTTTAGCTCCTCAAGTTTCTTCTCCTTTTCTTTTTGTGTCTTCTTGAAACATTATCTTCCTTGGGCAGTTTCAGAGGCTGCTTCTTGCCCCAGAAGCAAGTGAAACAATTCTTAAAAGCACAGAATTGACATCCTCCAACTGTACCCTGTGGTTCTGCATACAAGAACCTCGCATGATGGAATCCTCAGTTATGAAGTGCCACGGAGTCTGTTCCGACTCACAGCGACCCTGTATAGGGTTTTGGAGACTTTTACATCTTTGCGGGAACAGAAAGCCTTATCTTTCTCCTGCAGAGTGGCTGGTGGGCTTAACCTGCAATCCAGTGCTTATCATATGGCACTACCACGCTTCTGGGAGTCCTCTATAGCCTCCAGAAATGACTCTTCTGTGAACTGTGTTATCATGGCCATGTAGCTGTGCAATTGGCTTATGTAAACAAGACAGAACCAGAAGACAGATCATGGTTAATCCCAGCTGGGATCATTGAGTCATTTGTGTGGTAATATTTTGTGAACTTGAAACAGTAAACTGAGGTAAGGGATTCTTGTTAACATCATTGATAATTCAAGGTTAGAGACACCAAAGTAAACAAGATCAAAAGAGTGAACTGTGTTTAGTAAATATACTTTTAGGATTGTGTCTTCAGAGAATACCTGACCCAGGTGAATCATGTGGTAGCCTTTGTCTTGGGCCTAGCTGTTGTTGTTAAGTCAGTTCCAACTAATAGCGATCCTGTATAGGGTTTCCTTGGAGCATTTGATGAGTTTGAACAGCTGACCTTGTGGTGGTTCAAACTGGCCTTGCAGTCCAGTGCTTATCCTACAGTGCCTAAGCAGTCACAATCCGCTTGTACATGAGCTCCATAGATGAGTAAATGTCTGAGTGAGACCCTGTATAATAAAACAGTCATGGTCTGTCTGTTCTATGCCACCCCTGGCAAGACAGGAGAGCTCAGGAGATTTACAACTCAGCCATCATTTGTAAGCTCTTCCTGTGAGGTTTCTTATGTAGTAAGAGATGGAAGTCTTGTCACTTACCAGCAGTTACATAACCACACTGAACTTCCGTTTTCCTTCACCACCTCAAAGACTGTGGATAAGTCCTAGCCATTGTGTCAAATGTTCAGGGAGCAGCCTGCTGGTCTCCACGTGGCTATCAATGTGTGACAGACACTGCAACACTGGTCACTTTGCTGTGCTGTTGTTGTGTGCTGTTAACTTGGTCCTGACTCAGCTACCTGGTGTATAGGGTTTCCAAGTCTGTAAATCTTGACGGGGGCAGAAAGCCGTATCATTCTCCCATGAAATGGCTAGTGGGTTTGAACTGCTGACCATATGGTTCTCAGTCCAGTGTAGGATAACTACAGCTCCACTTTGACACACCTACACAAAAACAGGGCCTACCTGTCCCCTTAGCAAACTGCTTCATGTATTCTTCCTCCTTTCAGGTCGCCACTATGGGGCTGTCAGTTGTGAAGGTTGCAAAGGTTTCTTCAAAAGGAGCGTGAGGAAAAATTTGACCTACAGCTGTCGGAGCAACCAAGACTGCATCATCAATAAACACCATCGGAATCGATGTCAGTTTTGCAGGCTGAAAAAATGCTTAGAGATGGGCATGAAAATGGAATGTGAGTAAAAGTATTAAAAAGCATGAGTAAGCAAGGAGGGAAGAAAATGAGCAAGAGTGTATTAAGTAAGAGTTTTGTATCTTGCCTTGAAATCTTAAGAGAAAATATCTATTCACAGTCAGCTAGTAGATTCAGAGCCAGTTGAGCTAGGTTTACTCAGTTCCTGTGGTGTATGTGGAAAGCCGTATTCTGAATTAATTTGGGAGGCAGCCAGGTGGAGGAGGGTGAACATTGGCTTTGGAGTAAAGCCAATACCAGAGCAGTGCCACTTAAGAGCTAGGAGCTTTGGGAAAACATGCCATCTCTCTCTACCTCAGTGTCAGCCTCCCACGGCTCTGAGGATTAAGTGAACCTCTGCTCTCCTCACTTAGAGGTTTTCTTAGCCTGTGCATTCAATCGGTGTCCATCATAACATCAAGCACACTGCCATCAAGTCAGTTCCAAGTCATAATGACCCTGTAGGCCCCATACTAGAACTGCTCCCTCATGTTTCTAAAGCTGCGGTCCTCACAGAAGCAGACTGCTATATCTTTCTCTTACAGAGTGGCGGATAGTTTTGCACCACTGACTTATGGTTGCCCTAGCATTTTAACCATTTTGCCACCAGGGCTCCTTTTTACTTATCTTAGGTACCACCCAGAAAACGATCACCACTGCCACCAAGGAGACAGAAAGGACAGGCGGAAGTAGATCATGTTCTGGCTTGATACTAGTGTGATTCAATTCTAAATGATGAGAGCCCATCAGACTGTTCAGAGAACACCAGAATCCTTTTTAGAGTTGTTAATTGGAGAGTTTAAGCTTGAAGCTTCCCAACCTCCAGAGGTTTGTGCCCACTTACTTTGGGCTGCTTTCCTTTGAAGTTAGGACCCTCTCACAGGTCCTCTAAGCACCTGGAGCTCTAGAGAAAGTGCTGAGTATGGGGCAGAATATGTGGGGTTAGGAATTCCAAAATCAGGCCTTCATCCACAGAGAAGAGGCCAGTCATCATGCAGGTCTGCTTCCCAAATAGTGGTGGAAACACAATGACCAGAATTCACATGAGGCAGTTGAGAGAATGAATGAATTCAGGCTGTCAAATGGGAAAGTGAAGGTTGGAGGAGGCAGGCACACAGGGTGCTGTGGTGACCCTGGACCTGGGACCCCAGGCCGAGGGTGCTCTCCTCTCCTCTCCTCTCTGCATGAGCCCTCGGACAGTGCAGATGCATCATTGTTTGCATTTCTGGAGACAGAGTACTGCAATATCCAGTAAGGGCCAAGTGAAAGTGTGTTCTGGGAGAAATTAGAAGTATGAGCCTGATTTCTACCTAGTGGTGGTATTTTTATTTTATCTATTGATAATGTTCTTACTCCAGAGGGATGTGTTTTTGTTTATATTATTTTCTTTTATTTTTTATTTTAATCTCCAGTTTATTTTTCTTAGACTCAGAGCATAGTATGAAAGTCACAGCCAAAGCACTTGTAAAGACCCAGGAAAAGGGTTGGCAGGACAGGGTCCTGGGAGTCAGGTTTGGCTCAGGGCTGGAGGAAAGGGGTTGTTGCTGTCTCCCTGTCTACAAACATGTCTGTGCGTTGCATAGGTCCTGTCTTCACAGAAGACAAATGAGGAGCCAGGAGATCCCCCAGGGGGGGTCTAGCCTGGTGGGGAAGGGGTGTCTGAAGCCCGAAGGCTTGGTATGGAACTGAGACCCACATTGCTAAGTTGTCTTGTTTTTAAGAGTGAATATTTTCATTCAGAACATTGACTAGAATCAGCCTTTTGCAATCACCATTACAGCTATAAACTCAAAACGCAACTGGATTTCAGTTTGGTTAGCAAGATGTCTGAATTTTAGTGTCTGGGATTCATTCCTTATTCCTTTCTTTAAAAGCATGTTATTTTCTTCCGTTCTTTCTGGCATGTAGACCTGTTTTTATACCAGAGTTCTCGTATGGTGTCAAAGTGACAGTCATTAAACAGTTTTTTCAGGCTTGAGTTAGAAATGAGAATGGATCCTCCAGTTTGTAATACTGGACAGCATCTCTGTCACGGGCCTACTTAAAGAGGAGATTTGTGTCATCATGGTGAGAGCCTATGCTAGAAGCACAAAGTGAAAACCTAGAGGACTCAGTGTGGGCCTCCCACAGCATTGTTGTACACATGCTCTGTTGCAGTTTCTGAGCAACACCAGCCATCTGGATCTCTTTTTTCATAGCTTTTCATTTGGTCTGGCATTGAACCTTTCAGTACAAAAAAACCACAGACCACCTAGACTAATCTAGCACCAGAGCTTAGCATCACCTCATTGAGTGACTTTGCTGAGGACAACTCCTTGGTCCTCTACCATGTGAGATATGGTTTTATTGGATTGACTATGTAAAAATGAAAATGTATGTTGTGATTTAAGCTGTGCAGAGTGAACGGAAGCCCTTTGATGTGCAGCGGGAGAAACCTAGCAATTGTGCTGCTTCAACTGAGAAAATCTATATCCGGAAAGACCTGAGAAGTCCTCTGATAGCCACCCCCACGTTTGTGGCAGAAAAGGATGGAACAAGGTCAGTCAGTGCCCTGCCTTCAGAACTGCTCCAAAGAGGCACAGACATTCCTCGGGAAAGGGGACATTTTTATGGCTCCCTGCCCACCTGCCACAGCCTTCCTTGGCCTTCTCTCACCCTTCCTGCAGCTGCTCCAGTCACCCTCTGGACAGGCCTGAGGACGGCTAGTTAAAGCTGGGCAGAGGATGTATCCTCTCTCAGGGCTCAGATCTCCTCCTTGGTTGTTGTTAAATGCTGTGGCGTCCGTTCCAACTCATAGCAACCCTTTATAGGATTTCCAGGGTGCAGCTGATGAGTTTGAACCACCGATCTTGTGGTAGCAGTCCAGTGCATATTCTGTAGTGCCACACCAGGACTCCTCCTTAGTTTAGGCATCATGTAATGTACAGGAAATTAACTATTCCGTAATTCAACATTGACGGCTATTTTTACAGTATAGATAATAGATCTAAATTTCACGTGAAGTCGCCGAGAGTAAGGTAATTTACATGTTCTCTTTAATATCATCATTTAATTTAATTTAAAAGGAACAGAAAGGGAGAACAAGAAAGTTTCAGATGTATCTGGAGAAATGGAGTTGAGGGTACCTTGGAATCTAAAGATCAAGTTAACTTTATTAGCAGATTTGCCACAGTCTCATGTCATTCTGGAAAGTTCTGATAGCTGTGCATCTGTGTTTGCTGCTATCTCAGACCACAAACTTGACTTTTTTGTGTACACCTTCATGCAAAGAAAAGGAGGCTAGTCACTCGGGCTGTTTCTAGTTAGAGCTTTTCTACCGTTCAGACTCCTCGGCACACGTGGAGGGGTGAGGGCCAGGGAAGTGCAGCATGATCACACTGTGACTAAAATGCTGGAAGCTACTCTGGCTTTCTTTATGTCTTCAATAGACAGACAGGGCTTCTTGATCCCGGGATGCTTGTGAACATCCAACAGCCTCTGATACGCGAGGACGGCACGGTTCTCCTGGCCACGGAGTCCAAGGTGATGTTCTTTACCTAATCCCTCTCCTCCACGGTATTGCAGTGTGTGGCTATTTTAACTGTATGTGCCCCATTTCTCCCAGGCCTATGAAGACTACATACCCCAACCTTCTATGATCTATTTGAGAAATACTGATGACTTTGCAGAAACCTCAGTCAAGGCTATCTGGTCAAAGTCATAATATATCCATCAGAGTTTAGAGTTCCATTTGGTGATAGTTCCATGGTTCTGGTCTCTATTAAAAGACTCCCCCACCCTCCTCCCCCAACACACACATTACTAAACTACTAGCATGCTGAGGAAGCAGGCACTTGTCCCAAGAGGGCCTTTTGCAAAAGTGTGGTTCCATTTTATTGTTACGTGATATTCAGGAGGAAGTTCAACCAGCATTCTAATAATTCTAAAACTTTGTGCCACAGCAAATCAGCCGTAGGGAATCCAGCTTGTTGATAGAGTTGTTTGTTAATCTGAGAGAGAACGAAAGCTGGCCAATTCCCACGAAGATAGCCAAGCAGGAGTCAGGAGTGTTTTGTCCAGGCAAAGGAATCCACTGTTCTCCATGGTACTAGTTTGCAAAACTGATGGCCTTGGTTTTTCTCATTTTGGTGTTTCTGATGTAAAACACTTGATGAAGTAGCAGGAAGCCGTGGCTGGGGTCAAAATTTTCCACTTTGAAAGGGAAAGACTGGGTAATGAGGGCCCTGGCATTGCTGCTGAGTTCTTTTTCACCCATTCTCATGCGCATTAATGTGCACACTCAGGTCAGGAAGGACCATCTTTTCGTAGGAAAGAAAAAACAAAAATTTGAGTCCTCAACTGGCATGGAAGCCTGTCGTCTGTCTGTTGGGTCACTGGGCTGGGCTCTGAGCTGCCTCTCTGTAGTCCTGTGGTACTGTGTGTGATGAGGGCTAGCTGCTCATTACTGAGGAGTTCTGACTGTGCCGTGGGGTACAGAGAACGCATGAGTCTGAGTGGAAGGCCTTCTTGACGAACCTTGAGGAAATTCTGACCACCAAGGGATTGCCTGAGACCGTTCTACTGTGCAGTCCATAAAAAAGGTCTGAGAACTAGAGTCCAGAAAAGCCCAACCCCTCTGTGGTAGCCCTACAGTGCCCTCCCCTCGACCCCAGCCCTAGGCAAACACTCATCTAGAGATTATTCTAGACATTTCCGATAAATGACTGGCTTCTTTCTGCATAATGTTTTCAAGGTTCATCTATGTTGTAGCATGTAGCAGTACACTTCATTCCTTTTTATTCTCTTGTATGCACCTAACAACAACAACATGTATATATATGTATATGCATATAAGCATTTTATTTATCCATTCATCAGTGGGGTAGATCTTTAACTGATAGACTATTTTCAAATACTTTGTCCCATTCTGTGGGACATTTGAACTTTCTTGATTGACCCTGTCCTTTGAAGCACACAAATTTGTAATTTTGGTGACATTCAATTTATCTGCATGTGTACATTTTTGGAAGCATTTTCACAAGCAAGATACAAAATGATGCACCCTTTAAGTAGACAGACCTCCTGTGTGCTGTTCCTTTAGACTCACCCCCTAGAGAAGCTGTGTTAGACCAGGGCATCGAACTACTGCATGGCCGGCAACTGAAACTAGAACGGACCTGCGTTGTTTTTAATGTCACTACTAGAACGGCAAAAGCACAGGTCGATGCCCAGCTAGAAACGTAATCTCCCTTTTAGGAACGAAGGGTTGCATGTGCATTGCATAGCAGCTAGATCTGACCAACAGAGACAGAAGCACAGTGCCCTGATCAGAGTAACTGACCACGCAGCTTCGAAATGTGTGTTGCTCTCTGTAGTCCTGGAGATAATCCAGGCTCCTGAAAGGGTTCACTACACTTCTGCGTCTCCTAGTCCAGGGCTTAAACGTGTCATTTCCCTATTCCAGTTCATCCACAGTCGGAAAATTCAGGTACTGTTCTGGTCCAATTTCAGTGCATAAACCATAGCTGAACCTGTTGGAAGCCCTGTTTTAAATATGCAATATGAGGGGCCTTCAAAAAGTTTGTGGAAAAATTTCATTATCCTTTAATTCTATTTTTTGAAGCCCTCTCATATACCTTTGTTGGCCTAAGAGTCTCATTGTTGTGTGAGCATGTGCTCATTTTTAATGTTGTTATTTTTTGTTGAATAGGCAGAAACAAGCCAGGGAGCCCTGGGTACCCTAGCAAATGTAGTGACTTCCCTTGCCAACCTGAGTGAATCCCTTAACAACGGTGACACTTCAGAGATCCAGCCAGAGGACCAGTCCACGAGCGAAATCACCCGGTACGAGCCCGTGAGGACGGGGTTCCCCTCTTAATGTGCACACACAGTTGCTGTGTTGTGAGTGTGGATGGTAGCATTGTGACCCCCACCCTGTATTTAATCGAGGGCTGTCACAGTGAACCTGCACATCTGTCTTCTTCCCAGTTTTAACTGTGGGAATTTGGACCCACTTACATTATAAAGCGTAAAGCAATCAAAGCTATTTTTCATTCTAGACAATAAAACAGGAAATAGATTAATTCATTGGAATCAGAGGGTGGGGGGAGTTGCAGTGGCTAGATGTTATTTGTGTTTATCACTGTATACTGCACCTGAATAGTAATAATTCACCCCCTTTTTTGCTTCTATTTTATCTTATTTTTCTTACTCATATTTTTTTCAAGTAGTGAGTTTAGACCTTAAAACCAGCAGGCAGGTGTATACAGCTGGTAGATAGCAGTAGCTGGTCCCGGACGTCTGTAACTGGCTGCAGAGGACGGCTCTTCTCTGCAGCCTGGCTCTTGTGTTTGCTCCTTTCAGGAGGGACCAGTCAATCCTGCCCATTGTGCCAGTCGTCAGGTGAGGAGCTGGGGCCACACGAATGCTCTGCCCGCATGCTCATGTGTGGTCAGGCAGCAAGATGGAAATCTAGGGCCAGTGTAAAGAGGATGGGATGTGAGTTAGAATTCTGGTTATGCCACTTAACTAGCTGGGTGGTCTTACAAAGTGATTTAATGTCTCTAAGCCTTAGTTTTTGCTTCTGTAAAATGGAGAGAATTCCAACTTTAGAGGGAGTTATGAAAAATTAGAAATGATATGTGGAAATAAATAGTATATATAGCTCAGTGCCTGAAATGATGTGTAGATACTCAGTAAACACAGGCTTTCAGTGCTAGCAGGTATAATTTAGTTCCTTTCCCATTTTACTATTTTTCTAAATTTTATCTCTGCTAGAGCTCTGTTGTTCCCCCCAAATCTGTGGATTCACAGCACTTGTTGTTTCATTTTTGCGTACAGGGCGTTCGATACCTTAGCTAAAGCACTTAATACCACAGACAGCTCCTCACCCCCAAGCCTGGCAGACGGCATAGACTCCAGTGGAGGAGGGGGCATCCATGTCATCAGCAGAGACCAATCGACACCCATCATTGAAGTTGAAGGTCCTCTCCTCTCAGACACACACGTCACATTTAAGGTGAGTGCTTTAGCCTCACCGCATGCCCCAGCCTGTTGGAAGGGGCCTCTATGCTGAAGTTGGTCAGCAGTATTCAAATTCAAACCCTGGAATGAGCTCATTTCCATATTGTGGTGTCTGATGTATAAGTATAAAGTCCCCAAACCACCATCAAACTTGCTTTCCTAACGACTGGTTCTAGAGTCACAGAAGACAAATTGTAAATGTCCTGATTGGTAAAATGCTCTCAGGTCCCTGTGGGTCTTTCCCTCTCTCCTTCACTGCCCCTCTTTTTCTGTAGGACACTCCCAGGCCCCCTGAAGCTTGCTAGTTCTCCAGACTGAGTCTTTTTGTTGCCTGAGTTTTTCTTGCTGTTGAGATCTGGCCAGTTGTTTAAGTTGGTCCCTCCCCATGCTTACCCAGGGGTGTCCAGGATGCAGATTCCCAGTAGGATTCCTGCTTCAGGTGGAGCCCCTTCTAGACTAAGGGCACCTGCAGCCCAGATCAGACATCCTAGTAGTGGTATTTCCCCCACGTGTAATACTAGGCTTTCACTTTTACCTTGAGGCTACCTACATAATGCCTCGTAGTCCATGAGGTTGACCTGTTCCCCTGATTCAACTTGGATTTTAACCTAAGACTCAAAATGGGATTGCCTTCAAACAAATAACTTAGTTGAGCCAAAAGTTAAGGAGTACGCCTTTGTGTGAGTATACTGGAATCTCCCCTCCGGCTTCTAGCTCCCTCACCTGCTAGCCCCTGCAGGAGACACACAGGCACCCTAAAATCAGAGACAGTGACTGTGACTCTGTGACTACCACTGGGGTTGACAAGCAGAGGCAGCTCCTGAGTTTTGTCTCTTCTCTTGTCCAGCTCACAATGCCCAGCCCCATGCCCGAGTACCTCAATGTTCACTACATCTGTGAGTCTGCGTCCCGCCTGCTCTTCCTCTCAATGCATTGGGCCAGGTCCATCCCAGCTTTTCAGGCACTTGGGTAAGTAGCCTTTTTCTCTGCTTTTATCCTTGGGTCAAGGTCTATGTCTCTAAAGGTCCTTCTAGTTTGTTTCTGTGGCCTAGGTGAGGTGATCCTGAGTTTCTACTTAAAAAATTCACTGGACTGGTAGCAGGTACCCATGGTTGCCGGTTCAACACCACTCTGCAGACATTGATTGAGCCTCCTTCAGGTGCCCGAAATGGAGTGGATTAGGAGGTAGGAGTCATCAAATGAGCTTCACAGAGAGTGATCTGCAGGCTGTCCTAGATCATCAGGAACTTGGCATGTGAAGCAACTATGTCCTCAAACACAAGTTCACTGGTTTACTTTCTCGTATAGCAGCTTACTTCCATGCCGACCAACACTATGGGCAACTCTACAGGAAGCACCTGCTTGCTTCTTTATTGAGCACTGCTTGTGTGCGTTTGTCTGATTTCTTTCCTACATCCCGGTACCGGCTCTGCCATTGTGCCCATCAGGTAGCAGAGAGTCTGGTTAAGAGATAGATGTTAAGTGCCTTCGAGCCAGTTCTGACTCATAACTACCCTATCTATATAGGCTTTCCGAGAAGTGCTGGTGGGTTTGAAGTAGTAACCTTGTGGTTTGCAATCCAGTGCTGATTCTACAACACCACAATGGAAAGAAACCAAGAGTTAATTCACATGTAGAAAACACCAGAATGGAGGGCCAGTTGTTTACTGAGTTAGATCACTGGTTTTGGCTTGAAGCCATAAAAGTAGAACTTACCAGCTATGTGACCTTGAACAAGTTACTTTACATCTCTGAGCCTCTAATTTCCTTGCAATAGAATCCTTGCAAGGGCTTAGGGTCTATAAAGTTCTTAATCCACTGACTGCCTGAGCACAGGGTTTTGGTGAGGGGCACTCAGTAGAAGTTAGGGTGTGCCAGGTGGAATGTGCCCTGAATGGTGTTTGGAATGCTCACAACGCTTCATGAGGAAAGGAGAGCTGAGGAAGATTGGGGTCCTTGCTCTGGGAAGCGCTGTACAAGCAGGTACTACTGAGTAAATTGACATGGTGGTAGCTAATGGGAGAAGATGGAGTCACTCCAGGCATCCTGGGTACTAGTAAACAGACATTTTAAGGGAGTTAAACATTATCTACCGTTTGCCATCGAAGTCTGATTTGAGAAATTTGGAACCTCCTCCACAGGAGTTTTCATCCATGTGTGTGCCAGGGATGGGATGGAGTAGAACACATTTAATCCAGACAAAACATGCTGTAGTGTTCAAAGTGGTGGCATTTCTGTTTTGTGTAATGCTCTTCATCAATTGGTATTGAGGAGTACTAAACATAGTGAAACAACAGGTGTGCCTCTGAGAGGTCTGGACATGGCACAGTGAGGTAACTCTGGTGTCTTTGCCTTTGCACCACCTGGGCTGGGCCATCTTGGAGTCCAATGAAGGAAATAGCCTAGTTAAGAGAGCCCAGTTTTCTAAACTTTGACATCCTGAGACAGGTCGTTGGCATGATGTGTCTGTGGGCTTCTGAAAATATGGAGATGCTGTTTTGTCGTGTGCTGCACATAAATCACATTCCAATTGAAAGTAAACTCCCTACTTCAGGCCCATCTCACTTCAGGATTTGGAAGCCCTCACTCAGTTCTCGAGGGCAGATGGAGCGTGTGTTTCCTACCCTCCAGAGTCCACCGTAGCTCGGTCCTTGGATCCCCATAGGCACTTATGACTGTGGCTGCAGGATCTGGGATAGCACCAAGCACAGGCTGCCTGGGAAATGTAGAGGGCTATAGGAAGTGGAGTCCTGAGGTGGTGCTGTAGGATAAGCACTCAACCATAGCTCGGTTTGAACTGTAAACAGGTCAGTGGTTCAGACTCACCAGCCACTCCTCAGAAACCCTATAGAGTCATGGAACCGACAGTACTTAACAACAACAAGGAAGTGTTTGATCATACCTTTAAAAATTTCTCTGTATTTAAGTCTAAACTTTTTTCAGGGATAGGTTAGGTTATCAACAGAGGGACTACAGTGAGGGCATTCATATACAGGGCTCTTTTTGGAGAATGATCCTGCTGAATCCCTTTGTTTTTAGAATGCTGGGGACTTGTGCCTACATGTACCCTTCCCTGTTGAAGGGCCAGCACACACCCACACACACCCTCTTCTCTGTATCACTAGACAGGACTGCAACACCAGCCTGGTGCGGGCCTGTTGGAACGAGCTCTTCACACTCGGACTAGCCCAATGTGCCCAGGTCATGAGTCTCTCCACCATCTTGGCTGCCATCGTCAACCACCTGCAGAACAGCATCCAGGAAGGTAGGGCTTCAGGTGCGGGGCCCAGACCAGGCAAAGGCCAATTGGCCAACCTCAGTGTCATGTTCCACAACATCCATGGACTGGCTGGGAAGTCAATGTATCTTTTGCCTCTTTTCATAAAATGAATATGGAGGGGAGGGCAGGACAAAACAGTGATTGAGAAAAGCTGCCCACTTCAGTGCATAGTTGTTTCGTAGATATTTGCAGAATGGTCACACCTTCTATTTTCATTGACCAGGTTACCCTTTTATCTTAACAAATCTTCACAACTCTAGAAAGTAGGGATTATCTCAGTTTTACATGTGGGGAAACTGAAGCCCTGATAAGATTCCTGACTTACCCTAAAGCTCGGAGTAAGTAGAAGAGCCAGACACAATCTGAGAACATGCAGACGCACCAGTCCAGGGTGCACTTAGCTCAGCCCATCTGCTCCAGTACACACTGACAGCCACTGTCCAGAGGGGACCATCCAAGAGTGAGGCTAACACATCAAACCTTGGTGAGCAGAACTCTGAGTACATGAAACTGAACTGCAATTGTCATTGGGCGCTCCAGGGTTGGATGTCTAGGAATGTGAGTTACCTAGCCAGATCTTTGCTTGTGTAGTGATTCCTTCAGAATATTTACATAAGGTTAGTTTTTTAAATAACACTTAGCATCTTAATTGAATTTAAGTAAGACTTAGTCACAAATGAACTTTTGTTGGTTTGTTTTTAAACTGAGTAAAGTGATACTGATACCTTCAGCAAAGTATTGCCATGAGGATTAAGTTGAGATCACATAAAATTTTGATCACTAATAATTGGGCATCCTTGAGAGACTCAGATTGTGTTCCTTTTTCAATGTTCTTTGAATTTTGGGAGCAAAAAGAAATCTGAAGGGGCAAGATTGGAACTATAGGGTGGATGTGGTAAGGTTTTCCCAGTGAAATTGCCACTAGTAATGCTCAGATTGACAAGCACTTATTACATACCTGTAGAGACTTAGAAAACCTAACCATTGATCTGGACTGACATATGGGTCCTAAGCACAGTATGGAAGGAATTACTAATCTGTACTGACAGACCAACAGTACTGCTCAGGGATGTGGGGTCAGTGGGGGGGATCACCTGCCCAGGGGGTTCATTACGAAGGCAGACTATACAATGCAATGGAATCTGTATACCTATTTACATGCTGGGACAAGAGTTGGATTGAGTTCATTTCTTCCCATCAAGCACATCGGTTCCCTTTAATGACAGTCTGAGTTACCACTTCACCTTCACCTAGAAAATGAAGTCCTTGACCATCTGGAGATACTGGTGATTTATTCAATTATTCTCCCATTTCTTCCAGTCTGTGGCCCCTAAGAAGCTGGTTTAGTTGTGCCTATCAGCATTTCTCAGAGGGTCTGTAATGTTGGTTTCTAGATAAACTTTCTGGTGACCGGATAAAGCAAGTCATGGAACACATCTGGAAGCTGCAGGAGTTCTGTAACAGTATGGCGAAGCTGGATATAGACGGCTATGAGTATGCATACCTTAAAGCTATAGTTCTCTTTAGCCCGGGTAAGATATACGGTGGGGACTCATGTCAGTTTTCCTCCTGTGTCTACTGCTACTTCTGAACATGAAACATGTCACGTCATCAGAGGTGTATAGAGAGCCCTGCCAGAGTGTATGTGAACAAATGTTCTCATAGTGTTTAGACTTTGCCAGCCATCTTAAGGTTGTTTAAATTCTTGCCTCTACTGAAACTATTTAAAAACAATGCCTGGTAACTTCACGCACTCCATAGATTTAAATATCTGTGTCCTCATTAAACCATTGGCCAAATAAAACTACTGCGTGCCCAACAGAGTATAACACCCAGTGTCTTTTCAGCTCCTATGCTGTCAGTCAAAAAGTGTTGTTCTGAAATCATAGAGCCCATTATTAAACAAAATATCAAAATGTGACGCTATTGTTTCTCAACACATCCTCCACCTTCTAGGCGTAGGCACTTCTGAAATCTGTGTTTCCATCTCTCAAACCCTTTTCAGAAGAATTCTGTGTTCTTCTAGACATGCCACATCAAAATGGCAGTTTGGGCGTCCTTGAGGGACTAAAATTGTGTTCCTTTTTCAATGTTCTTTAAATTTTTAGAGCAAAAAGAAGTCTGAAGGGGTAAGATCAGGACTTGTAGGGTGGATGGGGTAAGGTTTTCCCAATGAAATTCCTGTACGACAGTACTTGCTACCCTGGGGAACCAGCAGGTGCATTATAAAGATGGAAAAAAGTACTCAGTGCATCTTTCCTGGTCTTTCTCCAACCAATGCAATTTTCAATTTTCTGAAAATCTATTCATAATAAGCCCCCAGCCCCTGTGATCATCCTGTGTCGAGAATATCTATCAAGATGGTGACCCTTTTGAGATTCCAAAAAACAATAGCTTCTACAACTGTACCACTCATAACACACCCAGTCTTGTTTGAATTTAACTGATCAAGCAGGCTCCCTCAGAAGCCACTGTTTTGATTGGCTCTTTCTCCCTGGATCATATTGGTAAATCCAAGACTCATCCCAGTTACAACTTGCCCCATAAAAACCTTCATTAGCTTCTATCTTGGTTGAATGACAGGTGGCAAGATCAGCTCATGGAGCTAGCTCAGCTTCACACAACACTCTGGCATCCTTTAAGCCAAAGGCTTGCTGAGGCCAATGCTAAACCATTTAAGACCCCAATGTACTAATGCTATTGAATCAATGGTAATTCTTTGGTCTTCTCTTACTAGTTTCTGGGCTTCAGTCATATGTTTTTCACTTGTCGAGGTTGATGGTCTCCCCTTCTGGGCTTAACTTTGATATCTTCTAACCTTCTTAAAATACTTGATCCATTTAAAAACCATTTCTATTATGTGGGCAACCACCCCATACCTGTTGAAAAGCTTCAGTGCATCAGAAAGATGTCCACTTGAGATCCATTAAAATTTGATATTATTCCTGACCTTAAAGAAACTTTTTTTCCATGTCACAAAAAGTATCCTTTTTTGAAGACACCAAACAAGATTGAGACAAGTGTATTAATTAGAGAACTTGTCTACAGCCATCCACTGATTTCAGACACATGCACATTTAAATGTGCATGTTTGGAATACATTTGTACATATATGGAATCCTAGTAGCAATACTTCTGATTAAATATCTAGAAGGAAATTTTCATATGGTTTCAAAATCTTGGAGCATTAGGAAACCAAGTGTCCAGAACTAACCTGGGTGGGACTTCTCAGACAAAGCATCCAAAGTGGATCAGTGTTCAGAACTCAATTTATTGTACTTGAGAAGTTTGCCAGAAATTTGAGTAAAATAAGTACTAAAAGGTCTGCAGTGAGTCTTTCCAAATACAGATGGGAATTTGGGGGCACTTTCTGTTTTCAGATCATCCAGGTTTAACCAGCACAAGCCAGATTGAAAAATTCCAAGAAAAGGCACAGATGGAGTTGCAGGACTATGTTCAGAAAACCTACTCGGAAGATACCTACCGGTGAGACATGCAGGCACATGCTCTGGTTGGGCAGGAAGGAGTGTGGCTGGATCAGCTCTCAGTGATGTGAACCCTCCCATTCCATCTCGCTTGGCATCTCCAGTTTCACAGGTGGTGCTAGAATGTGGGAGGCCCCCAACTGTAGCCTTCTTTCTCATCTCAGGGCTTGGACTCTTGTCTCCGTGGTCTCTTCTCCGACCCACACAGTGCATGGGGCTTGTGTTCTCATGGAGTGTCCACACACTTGTAAAGCTCTGGCATCTCTTTACACCACAAGTGCACTAAGCACACCCTGTAAAGACTTAGCAAGTGGTATAAAACAATCATTTTCTTTCTTATAAACTGTTGAAAAAGGTTTTTTATTTGGGTAATAGTTAATTAACAGTATTAACTATAATGAGTAGACAGCAAAAAATATCTCTGCGTCAGCCTCTGTCATGTAGGAAATCTGAATGGGATGGGGCAGAAAGCATTGACAGGCTTTCCCATGAGGGCTGGGAAAGCTCTTTCCTGGGACCGCTGCTTAGCGCCAGGAGGCGTCAGGAACATCTGGGGCCTGTCAAGTGAATCACTGAACACTTCCCTCCCCGTTCTACCCCCCCAAAGTATACCTTAGAGCAAACTCGACAGTCCTGAAAGTTGTATCAGCCTGCCTCCCCCAGACTTGTGTCCTTGCATCAATCGACCTCAGTGTACAGGTGTCTAAAGCAGAGATGCCCCAGGTCCTGTGTGTATGTGTAGTCGGAGGGAGGGCTTCGGGGATTTACTGGCAAAGAGCTTGCCTCACTTAGGCATACATCCATGGTATAAATAAAAGTTGCTGCTGGAATCACTGGAGATCTAATCATGGATGTAGAATAACATAACTTCAGTGTGTACAGTGTAAAGCACACACAACCAAAGTTCATACATCTAAGCAGGCATGTAGGCAGGGTGTCCCCAGACAAGGCCACAGACCTACTCCCGCAAGCTCCTAAAAATGCCCTTTTGGGACTTCCTGGCAGAGCTGCTGCACACTCTAGAGTTATCTTCACACCAGCAACTCTCTGGCCTTTGAAAGTCAACAAAATATTTCTGGGAAAAGCATGAACCATCCAAATCTACCTATGGGACCTGGGTGCGTGAATCAGGCGATGTGAGGCTTAAAATAAGAGCAGGGAAACTTTTTTTAGGACTCTGAAATGCTCTCAACGCAATTCCCAAGAAAGGGCCCTAGATGTTTGTGCCTCCTGTTGACAGATTAAATTTTTAATCCATTCCTGTGCCTTTTCTTGTCTTGTTTGTTCCTCATGAAATGCCCTCTCCACTTCTCCCCATTCTATGCATCTCTACTGAGGGATACCCTGGCCAGCCTCTCAGGTCTGCTGTCTGGGCTCCAGGAAGCCCGCCCTCCCAAGGAGAGGGTGGGTGAGGGGGCTGTGATGAAGAAGCCCTCTGCAGTGGGCATCCTTCTGTTGTGTGCTGAGACCAATCCCTGAAGCTGGTGTGGCTGGGCCCCACGGCATGGATGCTTCAGGATGCACAGGGCCCAGCTCTCCTCCAGGACAGGAGTACAGTATGCTCGCCCACCCCTGGTTTCTGCAAAATGAAAAAACTTATTGCTTTATATTTCATTATAACATTAACACTAGAAATTGGGGCAAGTCAGGAAAAAAAAATTGGGTGCAGTCACTCTTAAAACCCAGAACTTGGCCTCCCCAGAGGTACTGCATACATATGTACCCATAAAGGTACACAGATTAGAGTGGTGTACCTGCAGCTGTGCACGGCTTGGTCATGAAAAGTGTATTCAGCTGTAAGTCATGGGTATCTTTCCATACCAAGGAATATAAATCATTACTAACCTGTTTTTGTTTTTTTTTTTAAATTCATCTCACATTCTTTTATCCGGAAGCAGCATGCTTTAATCTGTACCTTAAATTTCATGTGGCCAGGATCTGTTAGTTGGTCTGTTAGTTTTAGGGGAAGGAAGAGTTGTTATCAGTAACAGTGAAGGGAACATCTGTACAGATATGTTTGCATGCATTTTTTTTTTTTTCTCTCCATGATAAATTCCTACAAGAGGAACTGTTGAAATCAGAAAGTCAGGAGTGTGTCTGTTTGTTTGGTTCTATTGTGAATAATACCCATAGGGTCCTGGGAAGTCATCCAGGCCCAAGCCTAAAGGGTGGTTTCCGTTTCTCTAACATCTCTCCCTCCTACAGATTGGCCCGGATTCTGGTCCGCTTGCCGGCACTTAGGCTGATGAGCTCCAACATAACTGAAGAACTCTTTTTTACTGGCCTCATTGGGAATGTTTCAATAGACAGCATAATCCCTTACATCCTCAAGATGGAGACGGCGGAATACAACGGCCAGATCACTGGAGCCAGCCTATAGTGCATGCTGCACGCCTACCACGGTGCCGAAGACGCCTCCAGTCATCCAGATACACAGAAAATAAAAGTAGTGGTATTTGGTATGTGCACATAGTTCCAGTACGTTAGCCATTTCCTACTTGGTTTCTTCTTACCTGTTAGCTCCTGAAAATAGCTGCGGAAAGACTAATAGGACCTGTTCCTGCCATAAGAAATGTTTTAATGCCTTTTGATGAAGTAACAGATTTTGAAACAATCTTTTCATTCAATTTGTATTTAGAAATTCTCAAAGGGCAAAAAAACAAAAATTTTATAATGTCAGAGACTAGTATTGAAACTAAAAGAACCTAAGAGAACAGTATGTGTGTATATATAATGTTTAAAATATCCTTGGAATTAATAGATACTAATTACCAGGGTAATAATATTAGCACTTTCTAAGCACTTGTCAATGCTTAATGTTAGCAACATCTTGCCTGTGGACAGGGCAAGTGAAAACTGTCTATCTTTTGCCGAAATGCTAATGATTTCTGTAAAAACTCACTAGGGTACAGGAGACAATCGTTTATGTTTCAGAGAAGAGGGCGTCATTCCTAATTGTATGCACATACTGGTAGTGAACAAACACAAATGAGGCTGACTTGCAGCTTGCAGTGGAAGGATGGTAGACTCAAAGCAGAAGCTTCCAGCAGTAGAGTTGATGCCTTTCTAGCTCCCTGGTGTGGGATTGCAGCATGCAGACTTCTCCTCTGGTGATGCTTCTCAGAATCAGATTGCAGCCAGTCAGAGATGAACTGCCAGGTCAGACATAGCATTTCTCCAGCAACTGAAAGGCACTGCCAGAGAACCAAGCAAACAGTGCAAGGTGTGGCCTGGAGCAACTGAGGGCCATGGGGGTGCCCTTGGAGTGTGGGGTTTCTTCCTTAATGGTTCCGTTCCTCAGTTGGAGCATCCTAGCAGTCGGGCTGTGCAGAGTCTCACTAACTGGCCATGATGGGTAGGGTCTGGCAGAGCTGAAGGGATAGTCTCAGGGCAGTTTCTTTCAGTTGGCCTTAAACATCAGTTTCTCAAAAGGTCTCTCTGTTGACTTTTAATAGCCCTGGTATACCATGCACTTTGGTTCCCCCAGGTGTTGGCCAGCAAACCATCTCAGAGGCTGCCTGCTCTTTCACACTGAACCCTTCTCTCTCAAGGTGTTCTTTCCCTGATGTGATAGCCTGGCACTGAGTTTCCAGGCAGCCAATACGATGATAAGGAAGCTCTAGCTAGGCCACAGTAGTTATCAGTTCCATTGGGTCTGAAAAAGCAGCAGGGTTATTTGTTTGGGGAAACTGGCAACTATAAGACCAGGTCAGGCTCTTCTGTTTTCTTCTTGTATAACCCAGGTTAAGACAGTGGATCCTGTAAGACTAGATAGATTGAGCCTCTTGAATCTTTTGATCAGATGATGTCCAAAAAAAATCCCAGTATGACGCTTCCCCAGCCCCCTGCACAGTGCTGCAGTCTGGCTTGGACACGTAATGTCGAGGTTAGGCCTCACAACCCTGTGGGCTGCAAGACTGCCAGCACTGCAGCACTGTATTGACACAATGAAGGCTGCTACAGGTTAAAAAGGGCTACTGGACCCTGAAGTCATTGTTTATGGAAGTCAGCGGGGGCAGAGTCCTTTATAGGTCATACCTTGGAAGCAAATTTTGGAGAAAAGAGTGGATGCCCATTATAAAATGATGGAAAGGATTGCGTTTGGCCAGCTTAATTTAGTTTTTTGACTGTGAAGTCAATTTAAAAAGTTTTTAAAGTGGCCAAGACAATGGAATTTTAGGGTGCTTTCAAAGGATTTTAGTAGAGGGCATTTTGAAGCACATTTGTGTGTCTTACACAAAAGTTGCCTATGTTTCTATTCTTTTTGATTTTTTTTTTTTTTTTAATGTCAGCATGTCTACTGATCATTTAGCAATTCCCTGAATTCCCAGTGGCAATGACAAGGTCCATACCAGCCAGCCTCCTGGCCCAGTACCACTCAGTGCACAGGTTGGGGAGCGCTGCCTGTGGTTTAACACTTGCACTCAGATATGGGGATGGCTGAGCCAAGACCTAGACTAGGGTCTATAGAGGTGAAACTGGCAGGAAGACATTAAGTATTCAAAAGTAATGGGGTCTTACAAGGTTGCCCTGGAGACCAATTAGTCCTGCCCTTTAACTTTCACAGGTGATGGCCAAGTCCAGTGGGCCATTGTGGATTTTGAACACTCCCCCATTAATGGCCCAGGTCTTGGCCACACACCACCAGAACACTCGGCCCAAAGTCACCTCAAGCCACCACTGACTTGCAGGTCCATATGTGTCTTGGTATTTTTGCTTGTATTTATTTACTTTCTGTTGGGGAGGGAGAGAGGGTCAAACTCATTAAGAAAAATCAACTCCAAAGTCCAGAATTATATGAAAGGATCCCAACCAAATATTTCGGCTAACTTTGACAAGGAGTCCTGGTGTGGCGCTATGGGTTAATGCACTAAGCTGCAAAGTCAGTTTGAACAACCAGATTGGCAGTTCAAGCTCACCAGCTGCTCCTTGGGAAATCCTACTTAGGGTCGCTATGGGTTGGAACCGACTCAGTGTTGACTAAACAACTTTGACAAGGCTTGTGAAAGTAGCTTTAGTGACATGAGGTAAGCTGTCTCCCCGCTGAATCTGAGTGACATGAACAAGGAGTGAGTAGGATGTGCTACCACGGAGCTGTCTTCACTTCCTAACTAAGGCCAGGCACATGGCTGAGAGGTGGGCCCTTTCCCAGAAGTACCTCAGATTATGCTGCCATTACGTGGTGGAATTTGTGGAATACATTACATGTAAGCATTGAACAGGGATAGGAAGAGACAAAAAGACCAAATAAATTATTCAAGCAAACAGTATTTTTCAAGTTATTCCTGGAAAATGTTTAAGGAAATATGGTACTGTCCTTCTAATTTGAAACTTGTACATGTATGTTGGGTGTTTTGTTATTTATTGTCTAATCTCTGCCGTAAGACCATAGTTTGGGCTTTTGTTATCTTGGTTTTTCTATTTAATTTCAGGTGTAGTCACATTTTAATATGTGCTACATGATCGTCCTCAAGAGGGACTGTTTCTCAGTTGGTCGGTGCCTGTACTCTGATCTGAGGCAGGATGCTGGCCACAGTGACAACTCTTTAGTTTCCCAAAGAGCGTTGACTTGTAGCCACACTGCCTGCCTACTCAGTTGTTGGCTAACGTTTGGGGGAGCCGTGGTAGGGAGCGAAGAATGGTAAGGACGTGCTGTAGCTAGTACCCTTACTCTGGGGGAGATGCCACCACAGCAATGTTGCTCACACCTGGTTCTGTGGCCTCCAGGCCTTGCCCAGCTTTTGTGGACCTAAGTAGCCTGGAGTCCCCAAGGCCAGTGGCCTGTGTGCAGTGGAGTCAGCACCCTGGTCTAGGTCTGAAAAGTGCCCTCTTCTGACGCGGGCTGACTCTAGGTGGGCACACCTGGAGTTCCAGGAATGTAGCTCAGCAGGCAGAGCAGATGCCCCACAGGCTGTCTGTGGTCCAAATTCTCCAGACTGTGAGGCTTCTGAAATGTCTTAACTTTTGATGCCATCTTTTAAAGCCAGCCCCTTAACTGAGACAGGGCTGGTGTGGACCTCCTCCTCGTGTGCCTCCTGCCAGTGTGCACTTCTGGGCTCGTCCTGGGTCTGTCACCGCAGTGTGTGTGAACAGGCTTATAGACTGTCTGACTGAATGAATGTACATGTGTTTCTATCTCCTTTCTGTACAGTGTATATAGTGTGCCTATGTGTATATAGATGTATATTATGTATACAGACATGTAGCCATGTATCTAAACTTTTCTCTTTTTTTTGGAAGAGTCTACAGTGTCACTCATGTAAACTGACAAGGATGTTCTAAGGCCTTTCCGAAAGGGAGACTTGCTAGTGATCTTCTTAACCTACCATTCCCCTTGGGTGAGACAGACCGGGAAGGACCATGAAACTAGTTAAATGAATCACCACTTGGCATGGGAAAAGATTCCACACAGAAATGGCTTTGACAGGATGACATGTCTCTGTGTTCTCTAAGTTCAGACAAGGGCCAGGGAGCTGGTAGACAGTTTATTGTAATGTCCAAAACTAGCTGGTGATTTTTAACCTGCTTTACACATGCCTATTTTATGACCTAACGGGAAAGAAAACAGCAGGTAAAGCCATCGACCTTCCCAGATGCTCAGCACTTAAGTGGTCCTGAGACAACATCATGGTCCCAGACCCAGAATGGTCCATCCTAGGGGGTGGGGGTGGGGTGTGCTTTCCCTCGTACGTGTTAGCAGTTTCCCATCTTCCTATGATCAGTCAGCAAGAGGTGGGCACTGTTCTGTGACTAAACAAAAATCCCCATCTAATACCAATTAACACACAACAACCTACCAGATAATCTGAACTACAAATCATAAAAAGTTACTCCTCTGAATATAAGCATGTGAATGAAATCTGCTGACTTCATTAACACCTGTCTGTAAATGATTATTGCAATTTTTTAGATTAAAAACTGCATTTTACAATGAATGGATATGTGCCCTTGAAGCTACAGATGCCAAATTTTCCATGTCTGGAACTTTTTGATGCGTTTCCCCCTTAATGGGGCCTTTTAGCTGGGGTACCACTGAGGAGATGAGGCCAGCCCAGAGTACTGCTGCTCACTGGCCTGGGGAGCTGGAGGGAGCTTCACGAACCACAGAACGCACAGAACCTCACCTAACAAACACACTGCTTGCTTTTCACCTCCCCCCAAAAAGTAAGTTACTGAAGTATCTGCAGACACCTCAAGAAACCACAGTACTCAGTGCCTTCTGTGAGATGGTGGGCCGTACCACCTGCAGCTCTTACCCCACCCCCCACCCCGTTTCAGATGTGAATGACCTCACCCAACAGATTGTTCCACCTTCCACACGACATTGCCTGTCGGGACAATCACACTATTGAAGGTGGCTTTCCACAGTCAAAATACAGATAGGGTCTTGACAGTCTCACAGTGAGTCTTCAAAGTAAAAACGTTCCTTTGGGGCTATTTATCTTAACCACATTTTAAGAGTAAGCATTGAGCTTAAAAAGAAGAGTTTGGGGGAGAGAGAAAAGTATATGGTATTTTTTAAATGCCCAGCTAGACTTCAAGTAAGAAACCATTCATTTTGACATCTCAATATTTACACAAAAAAGCTCTGCCCCAGTTACCCTACAACTTACACCTAGACGTAGAAAACAGCCCCACCACATCTCCCCCTCACTTTACAGACTGTGGTACTGTTTAATATTTGGATAGCATTTGGAAGTAGACTTTATAAAGTGGCTTTTCTTTAGGACTATAACCGGCTGTCATTCTAAATTCATGACCACAGCACTCATGGACGCCAATGCTGCTGTCACACAACTCAAGTGCTGGAGTATTTTTATACAGTCTCTCCGTTCTCCAAATTAACTCGTATACCAGTGTTCAACTAGTTTTATAAAAAGCTGCACATTTTTCATAGTACAAACTATAGTTTTTACTTGTAGTTTGGATCGCGCTGTTAAAATGTAGCTGTATTATCAGCCCTTTTAAAGGAAAATTTGGATGTTAAATTTTCTTGGGACCGTTTCTGTAGCCTCTGTCCTTTACAAAATAGAAACTATTGTTTATGCCATTACATTTTAATTCCAGGTTTAAAACCTGTTGAAAGCTATAGCTTTCCACAGCTTCCCCCTCCCCCCATTAAATCAGCTTTGTATATGTAATGGCATTTAAAAAATAGCATGTTCTTTTTAAATGGAATTTTATATCCAATCAATGTCTTCAGTCTTGAAGAAGAATTTGCATTGTTGTGTTTGTATATAGAGTATCGCAGTGCATGAATTAGCTTTATGCATTTTATTAAATGCTGTTTAAATGTGGCATTATTGTTGTGGCTTAATACTACTACCTAAATGAGGTTTATACTATTAAAAGTGAATTAAAGACTACTGCATATCTTGCTCATCATTTCTCGTCGTTAACAGTAATATCACCCTGATATGCAGAGACCCCAGGTGCAGTCTCACCTGAGCCTGGGGATGAAGTAGAAATGAGGAAAGTCCCATGGGAGTCGAGCTTGACCACACTCTTCCTCACATCTGAGCCTTGTCCGAAGGTGAGTTAGCTGTCTTGAGCAATACTTTTAGTGGAGGGATTATAGCAGAGGACAGATATTTGTCCCCATCCTCCAAGATGGTGGTGTGTGGTAAGGGGACTGGATTTCAATTAATCAACCACCTTTAATAAGCCTACAGTCTTTAAGAAAACCTCTACCCTTTACAAATTAGACCCATGATAGCCCCCTCCCAATTCCCACCTTCCGTTTGGTGTAGAATCACAGTACACTTTAGCATCAGGGTCATCTCCACCATTTAATAAAACACGTCCTACCTTGCATGGCTTTCCACTGGGCTGTGGCTGGCAGTGCCTTTAGTCCCATTTTACAAAACAGGAAACAGCTCAGAGCTCTGGAGACTAAAGCCAAGGCTCTGGACAGCAGTGAAGCGAAGCCCTTAGCCTCCATTTCAGATCCAAAGCCTGTCCTAATGCTGATCCTAAGTATCCTGATGCAGGTGTGGTGCTCAAGATTAGCACCTTGGAAACCCTACACAGGGTTGCTGTGAGTCAGAACCAACTCAGTATCACTTACCAAAAAATACATACGCAGCAAAATATGCTATTTCCATGTATAATTTTGTGATGGCTTATCATGTTCAAAACATGTTTCCAAATTTTCCCATCCTCCCAAACTAACATGCTTCCTGAGCAGTGAACCCCGTTTTTCTCTTCTCTCCCATCTCCTTGTGGCTATTTCCAGGTATTTCATATAAACGTTAAGTCAAAATTCTTGCTTCTAGGGTTCCAGTTCATGCATCTAATCCAGACAAAATGTATTTAAACATGTCTGATCAGTGGATGGCTGCTGAGAAGTTCTCTCAGGGATGCACTGGTCTTAGTCTCAATAAGGTAGGAGTCTTCCAAAAACTTAAGGTCGCATCAAAACCGTGAAGTTCTGATGTGATGCTGCAAGGTCGGCGATTCAAATCCACCAGCCGCTCCTTGGAAACCCTAACCCTATACAGGGTCCGTATGAGTCGGAACTGACTCGATGGCACTTCACAATAAAAATGGTGGCTTCCAGATCAGCTGAGCCAGTTTAAGGCAGAGAGACCAACTCAATCAGTTATTGCAACTCAAAGGACAAGCACAGCTTACTATGAAGAAAGCTGCAAACTCCACTAGTGAGGAAATAGCTAGGAAAGGTGCACCAAGGAATTTCTCACCATAACATTCACTTGTTCGTGCTTTTGAGAGTCGCAAGGGCTGGCCTATGATCATTTCATTGGGAAACTATCTCATCCACCCTACAGCCCTGATCTTGCCCCTTGATTTCATTTTTAAGAATATTTAAAAGGATCATGATTTGAATCCCTCGAGGATGCCAAAACTGCTGGTTTGACTTGGTATAAATTAAAAAGCACTCAGTCCTTTGGGGAAGGGTTAAAGATGAAGACACTGCCTTTAGAAGTGTATAAACTACAAATGGGCATTACACAGTCCGTAAAGCCACTGTTCGCAATTCCACTTTGGTGAGTAGCGACTGAGGCCTTAAAAGCTTGTGAGCTCTCCCTGTGCGGAGCAGAGGAAGAAAAGATGCATGAATACAATTAGCCGAAGGACCAACAGACCACCCAGACCTCAGCTTCCACAACCCTGAGACCAGAACTAGATGCCCATCTAGTTCTGTAATATTAAAGTCCTGTACAACAAGTGGGGAAAATGTGGAACAAAACTCAAAATCATAAAGACGGGACTTACTGGAGAGTAGAGACTGGTAGAACTCCTGAACTTCTTGTTGCTAAGTCCCGTGAAGTCGATTCTGACTCATAACTGACTCTCTAGGATTTCCAGGGCTTCAAATCTTCACGGGAGCAGAAAGCCTCCTTTTTCTCCTGTCAACAGCTGGCAGCCTTGAACCGTAGACCTCATGATTTTGCAGTCCAGAGCCACTGCACTACTGAACTATGTTGTATTAAATTGTTTCCCTGTCCATTACTTCTGTGATTCATTGTTGTTGTTATGTGCTGTCAAGTTGGTTCTCATTCATCAACTCTGTATAGGGTTTCTAAGGAGTGACTGGTGGGTTTGAACCGCTGACCTTGCAGTTAGCAGTCCAGTATTTACACTACAAGGCCAAACCAGGACTCCAGTACTCCTCAACATTATTACTAAATGAGATTTGCACTATTAAGTGTGAATTAACAACTAATGTGTCTCTTGTTAATCTATTCTCCTAATTGTAATAGTACCCTCTAGCACACAGAGACCCCAGATACTCTCATCTGAGCATGAGGATACATAGAAATGAGAAAGGCCTCATGGGGGCCAATCTCTACCACACTCTTCTGCAAACCTTAGTATCCTCATAAGGTGGTCTTTATTTTCAGCCAAACAATAGGTCTACAGGGAAACACCACCACTAGGGATGAACACAGAAGGATCAAGCATTTGAGATCAAAAGGGCAGCATGTGCCCAAGGACAAAGCTCAGAAGCAGAAAGGATTAGGACACAAGAAACACAGGAAGTGATGTCTCACACTGGGGAGTGCAACCAATGACATGAAACAGATTGCGTATGAAGTGCTGAATGGAAAACTGATCTGCTCTGTAAACCTTCACTCAATTCCCAAGTGAAACACATAGAGACCTAGACAGAGGCCATGTCAAGAAGCAGCACCATCACATTTAGATGTATTTATTTAATCGAGGTGTCTTATGATTTTGCAGCAACATTTTTTGACTTACACTTGTATAGACAACATTTGATTTATTCATTCATTGTTGATGGTCATTTGAGCTGTTGTTCCTGGTCCTTTTTAACTTCTTTCTCACTGCCCTACTGCATTCAAAAAGGTGAAGTTGTGACAGAACCTATGGGGGTTCTGTCGTCCCGCTGATCTTTCCTTCACTTGACTAACTAAGGAAACCTGTTCTTCGAGTGAAGTGACCCTGTTGTTGTTAAGTGCCGTCGAGACGATTCTGACCCATAGTGACCCTGTATAGGGTTTCCAGGGAGCAACTGGTAAGCTTGAACCACACACCTTGCAGTTGAAATGACTTTGCAGTCTGACGTATTAGCCCACAGCGCCACCTAGAGGGCTCCAAATCCTCCTGAAAGGCTGAAAGCCTTTGGTGTCCTCCAGGGGAAGGACTGGGAACCACAGGGGCTAAGCAGCAGCAGTTAGACACCATCACTCAGCACCTTCTTCCTTTCCTCCTTGGTCTAGAAATCAACTGAATGGACACAGTGATGGGGCAGCAATGGCTGGCTGTGGCTGACTTGGGAGGCGCAGGCCTGAGGCTGCTTTGTCTGCCCCACAGGCTCTCCATCCCTGGCACCTTAAGAAAAGGGCTGGGCAGCTTTGCTTTACAAGGTGAGCACCACGGAGGGCTGCCTTTGGCTATCCTAAGAATGAGTCTGAGATCCATACTTCCAGCAAAAGACCGGGCTCCAGCCAGATGCAACCCCACAGCTCTGAGCTCACCAGAGCAGGGTCTGGCCAAAGACATGAGGCCAAAAGGGTAGAGGGATTGAGACAGGTGTCCACAGCTGGCCATACAGCCTCCCCTCTCAAAGCCCTGTCCTCACTCAGGCCTTCCTCCTTTGCTTCTGAGACCAGACAGGAGAGGACCAGAGAGATGAAGGAGCAGTTTGTTGGCAGGAAGGGGTGACAGTGTCCCTTTAGTAGTTTAGCTGCAGTTCCTCTCCCCGTGCTCAGCATCCTTTTGCACAGGTGTGTAAAAAAGGAGGCCCGGGCCCTTTGATCATACACAGATTAACAGAGTCTCTCTGGGGGGCAGACAAGAGCAGGGTGTCTCCCTGTGGCCAAGGGAACCCCAGACCAAGATCTCTATGGTCAGGTCCAATCTCCCCAGCCTGAGGCTGAGGCCTCAGTCCTGGACATTGGCTTTCAGAGCTGCTTTGTACTTGCCCCTCATCTCCTTGGGTAACGGCACCAGGGCTGGGCAGGACACCTGCCCCTCCACTTCACACATGCACTCGCGCAGGCAATACTTCCGGGGACCAAAGTGAGCAGGGTGTGAGAGCTGCCTTCGGTCCTGCTCCTCTCTTTGGAGGGTTTCTCTGTCAAAGAGCACAGACAGCAACAAACCCTGAGTACCAGAAACGGGAATGGTCCAACCAGGAAGGCTATGGACTGACTGCTCCGCCCGCCTGAAGCCCTGGGGCCCAGTCACTTGGGGTGTGCATCCTAGGTGATCCCAGGACTGAGCCTGCCACAACAGTGGGGTCAACTGTCAGGGGAGTCACAGCTGTAAGTGGAAGGCGCAACTGCAGATGAGCAGCTCTGCGAAGGCCTCGTGTGGCTTTTCAAGGAAGAGCTCTTGGATTCCCTCCTGTCTCCTTTCCTTCATGGAAAGAAAAAGGGGCGTGCCTTAGGGGACCCAGGGGATAGATGTCTTCCAGCTCCAGGCTGAGAGGCCCAAGGAAAGAATCACTAGCAGTCCACAGGGTAAGTGTTTGGGCTGTATTTCTGAGGCCACTAATAAAGCCTGCACAGAGGCCACGAGGCGAAGTCACCTATCTGGTGAGCCGCACAGCCAGGCATGAACCGACGCGGCCACCCCCAATCTGACCCTCGGTGCCTCTCTTGCCACTCAACCCTCTCCCAGCACCCCACTTCCTGCTTTCATACTCTCTGGGCTAAGATGTCTGCTCCCCTCCAAGTCAACCCCAGTAACTTACTCGGTCTTCCCCAGGATTTTGTTGATGTGCTGCATGATCTCCTTATTGCTCTTGGTCTCTACATCCACCAGGACCTGCTCCCCAGAGTCTGGAAACCAGAAGGGTTGAAGAGGTGAGGAGAAAAGCAGAGATGTGGTGGCACACTCAGCCTCAGAAGGCTGCTGGGATCTGGGACCTGTGTTCTATTGCAGAAACATTTTAACAATAAGAGGATTACACAGTCCATACACTAGACCCCTCATGTTTCCATTTCTTTGAAAATAAGCTGAAACTTTACATATGTGCAAAAAGCATACATTTTCACTGAAATTCCATGTTCATGGACAGTTGGCCTCATCACTCATCATCAAAAGATGTGAATCCTACGCAAATCCCAGCACGTGTCCTCATAGAAGTTGACAAGTTCCTAAGCATATAGGAACCTAAAATTCATATAGCAATGCAAAGCATCCAGAGTAGCCACAACAATTTCAGAACAAAGAAAATGGCTGGACATTCACATGCCAATTTCAAAATCACCAGAAAGTTACAGCGTGGCTCTGACAGAGCAGGAATAAAGCACTGCATCTCTGGCCTAAGGAGTTCTGGCAAAGTCCAGGGAAGCTCAGTAGTAAAAGACAGCAAGGTCGCCACAGGCAAGTATAGGAATCTAGACCTTTCCCTCAGAACACACTAAAAGTCAACTCAGATGGGTCAGAGTCCTAAATTTAAGTTAGAAAACTTAGAACTACAAAAAGCATAGGAAAAGCATTCGTCATAATCTTACTTAGGCAAACACTGTAAAGCACACTCCATAAAGGAAAAAGATCAATTTTTTATTATGAAATTTGTTAATTACCAATTATCAAATTAAACTTAGTCAAAATTCAATACGTTAGCACTATAAAAAACACTCGAAGCCACACACAGGGAGAAAATTGTCATAGCGTGCGTATTCAATAAAGGACTTGTACCCAGGATATATACAGAACTCTGCTATTAAGAAGACAATCAATCACACCAAAGAAACCCTAGAAGAATATCGATGTAGACACTGCACACCCTGAGGGAGGGAATCACTGAATGCCTGCCTGCCTGCCATAGCTCCCTATAGGCATCACTGTTCCCAGTCGTTCAGCTGGTTCCAACTTCTGTATACCGGGTCCAGGCCCAGGCCTGTCCTGCTGGAGCTTCCTGTGAGCTACTGTGTGATCGTTGTTGTTATGTGTTGTCCCACAGAGACCCCGTATAACGTTCCCACAGCACCAAGCAGGACTCTGGTGTGTGAGAATGGGAAGCAATTTTGGCCTTTGCCCTTGGTTCCTGTCCCGTAGCCCTGGGAGTGACCGAAGTACCCTTGGAAATCTCCAGACCACACCTGAGGATCCGTGCTAGTAAGTAGGGGCTGGTCAGATCAGAGAGACTCACTGGTAGACCTACAGCAACTCCAGGCTTCCTGGCTGCTGAAGGGAAGGTGATGCCCTTCTTTGGGCCATGAGAGCTGTGTTGGGAACCCCTCAACTCTGCATCTTCCTTGAGCTGGTCCTGATCTGTATCCTTTGGGTACACTAAATCTGGAATTCTAAGTGTAGCATAGCACGTTCTAGGAGCTCTGTGGCTCAGTCCACCAAGGGAGCAGGGGAGCAGGAGAGGCCCCCGACCCCACAGCTGCATCCTGCAGAGGTAATGGGAGACTCTACATCTGTGACCAGCTAATGACAAGTGTCAGGTGTCATGTGGATGCCCAACCTGGCAGCTGGCGCCCACCCAAGTGTAAAGAAAGGGTGGTTTCCTTTTAACCTATGAGGTCTGCCCCAGCTCAGGGAGGCCATTGCCAGAGGCACAGTGTGCTATGATTGCCAAGTGGGAAATGAGGACTAGATCCCACTCCACAGAGTGGGCCCAACCTGCCTTCCTCAGAGCATCAGCACTGCAGACACTTCTCCTTGCTGGAATTCCATCCTCCTCCCTCTTCTCTCACTGGGGGTCACTGCCCATCTGGCTCACTCTCCCCTCCATCGTTCACGGTATTAGCTCCAATAAATCTCCCATCTCTAGTTCTCTCTTGGTTGGTTGGTTGGTTATGTGCTGTGGAGTCGGTTCTGACTCATCTCGACCCTGTACAGGGTTTCCGAGGCTGTAAATCTTTACGGGAGCAGAAAGCCTCATCTTTCTCCCGTGGAACAGCTGGTAGGTTCGAACTGCTGACCTTGTGGTTCGCAGCCCGATTCATAACCACTACACTACCAGAGGTCAGTGCGCATCAGTAAGTACATGGAGTAAGTTAAACAAGGAACACACTCAGACAGTGCAGTAAAGAAGAATCAACACTGATCCCTGCAACACCATAGATAAGCCTGAAAAACATCACAATCAGGAAAAAGCAGCTAGGCACTGTGAGTGAGGTTCTGCCAGGAGGGAGTTGTGACACCAATCAAACTCAGCTACGGTGAAAATCAGCCCCACAGTGGCTGCCTTCGGCAGGGTGGGAAACTCACTAGACTAGTACTAGAACACTTTCTGGAAGGAAAGAAATGGTCTGTATCTAATTGGGAAAGTGGTTGGACTGGTGCGTACAATGGTTAGGACTTATCAAGCTGCACACTTTTCCTATGTAAACGATACCTCATTGGAGTCCTGGTGGTGATCAACACTGGACAGCTAACCACAAGGACAGCAGTTCAAATGTACCATCTGCTTCTCAGAAACCCTAGACAGGGTCACTATGAATCGGTACCAACTGAAGACACTCATAACAACAACATACCTCAATAAATTTTATTTTTTTAAAAAAGCAGACACAACTGGGCATACCACCCCCATCAGTCACTTCACCCCGTGCCCTGGGTCTACACCCCCCAATCAACAGCTCTTATTTTCTAAGACAACATCTTGTTCAGTGTTCCTCTGTGTCCCCTGCACTAGAACACTATCTCTGTTAAGGCAGAAGCTCTGACACCCCAAGTACCTAAAACAGGGCCTGATTTCCAGTATGATGGGGCTTCAAAAAGTTCATGAGAAATGAGATTAAAAGGTAACTTTCTGAAGGGCTCACCTAGATTTGCTATTTGTTGAATGAATAAAAACACATCAGTTTGTTTCCTGAAACATTTCACAAACTTTATGTCATTTGATTCTGGTAATTGTGTACAGCAGATTTGAGGAAGAAAGAAACAGGAAGCTGACTTGTTCACAGTCAGTGTGAACAGAACAAGCTGGGCTAGGCCTCTGGTCTTCTGTCTCTCCACCACTGAGCCCTATTTGACTGAACCATCTTTCTCTTAGCACCTTTCACAGACACACAAATGGCATCACCTGAGTGCAGTCTCGGGAGGGCACACAAACATGGTGGATTTTCAGGGAAACATGAGCATCGCTGCACACGGGGTGCTATAGGACTTCAGGAGGGCCCATCTCAGGATACAGGGAAGCTTCCCAAAGACTCCTGGGCATGCCAGGCAAAGAGACCAGTGTGATGCGGAAGCAAAGGCAACATGAAGCTTAGTTCGGGTGGGAGAGGAAGCAGGTGAGGCTGGAGACGGAGGAAGCCCAGAGCTCAGGGACGCCTACCTAGGGAAGCCAGAGGGGCTGGAAAGTGGGGGCAGCAGTGCACAAGCGTGCATGTCAGAAGGCGCCACCCACTAGCAGAAAGGGCATTGTTGTGAAGTGGCCCCGATAGGGTTTCCCAGTGTTTACCCTAGAGCTTCACACCAAGACTTCAGCAGGAAGGTGGGATAGGAGGAAAGGAAACTGTCCAGACACCACTCCCCGCTCCCCTCCTCCCAACTCACTCACCTAAATAGAAGCGCAGGAAAGGGGATGGCGTCATGTTCTTAAACATCATGATCTGCACCCAAGGGTTTTTATACTGGATCTGAGGTATGTTGAAAAACACAAATTTCCTGTGAAGGGAAGATATTAGATCTGTGAGACTATTTTAGCCTAAGATTTTGTGCATGCCTGTGTTTCTGGGGAGAAAGCCCACAGAACTTCCATCAGACTCTCTGAGAGGTCCATTATACCTAAAAGATTGAGGAAAACTGACCTAAGGGATCCATGAGCGTGTTCTCTGAACAGGGTAGGGACTCCTGGTTAAGACCCTGAGGGAAAAGAAACCTGTGGTATCCCTCATCACACTAGACACTAACCCACGGCCCACCAAAGCAAAAGTGAGCCCATGCAATGGTTTCCTTCGAAACGTGGGTGGTGGTCCCACACTCGTAGGCATGTCTACTCCCTTAGTCTAAGCTACACCCCAACTCAAGAACTGAGAGCATGAGAACAGCACGGGAAAGAGTCTCGTTACATTGGGAGGCAATTAAAAGCTTCAAGCAGCAATCCTTCTCAACAGCAAGATCAACACTGGCCAAACCAAAAGCATGTTCACAGAGAATAAAACAGGGGCTAAGCTCCGAACTAAGGTTTGACATTTCATTCAACTTACAGGGCAGGCCACTAACAGGCAGTTCATCGAAAAGAAACCAAATGGCCTATAATCACATGACGAGATTCTCAACAGACTCCCAGTACAAATTAATGATTCCTTTCACCTAGTCAACTGCTAAAGATTTCTTTAGGTGGGGAAACATTTCCTGAGCCCGATCCAGAACCTTCTGAGGTGGGGCATTCCCACTAGAAGGGACAAGCAGATTGGCCTGGAACAGCCAAAGTGACAGATGATGCATCTCCAAAGAAAGAGATCAGCAGGAAAAACCCAAAACAAAAATGGCTACTACAAGAATAAGCAAGCTGTTCACCAGGAAGCCATCAAGGCAAGCAATCAAGTTCTTTCAGAACAAACCCCCCCTAAGACTGAAAAACTCAAAGGGAACACATGAGCAGGAATGTAAGCTTGCTGGTGACCACATTGACCTGGTGAGTAGAAGAGGGGGGAAAGCAGCAATGAAGAAATGGGCTGAGTTCAACCACGTTCCATAGACTCCCTTTGATCTAAGGATGACAAAGAGAAGAGGAAGGGCTAGTTGGTCCGAAGTGTGGTGAAACCTGGGGACTCCTGAGTCCTTCGGCAAAGACACAGCCACAGAACGCTAGAGCTGAGAGTGAAGCATCCAGCTGTATGAAGTGAGGGGAGACACACAAAAACGCCCAAAATTGCAGACAGCACCCATTTGACCTAGCCTTGATGGCTTGATAATCAGAACTCAACTACAGGTAGATAAAAAAGAAAACCATTTTTTATAAAGGAAACAAGGGTAAATTGCTACAATTTCATGAACTTGACTATATTCATGGAGGTGGTGGTGGTGGTTATGTGCCATGGAGTTGGTTTCGACTCATAGCGACCCTGTACAGGGTTTCCGAGGCTATAAATCTTTACGGGAGCAGAAAGCCTCATCTTTCTCCCGCGGAACAGCTGGTAGTTTCAAATGGCTGACCTTGCAGTTCGCAGCCCAATTCGTAACCACTACGCTACAGTAGGTCAAAATACCAACAAAGAGGGATGGAGTCTTCACATCCAGTATCAATGCTATCCCTTCGTATACAGGGTAGAGCGGGACGGGCAACTTATACATTGGCTGGGCGATAAAGGCACAAAGTGACTGGCTTACAAGGTTTCAAGAGGGAGTTTAGTTTAAGACTGTGTGGGGGAAAATAATTTCCCTACTGAGTAGTTTTCATCTTGTCTAGATGGATCTGGTGAAAAGAGATGGGGATAAGATTCTTATACTCAATAGTGAATAACTGTTATCATGACTAATTGCGACTGTCAGAATTGTAAAGGTAGAAGTTTTGTAACAAAACGAGGGAGTAGTTAACCTTACAGTTCAGAAACAAAGGACAAAAGGACCATCAAGAGAGAAGAGCACAAGCAGAATGTGGGACCTTATCCAGAGGAGGCAGAGACGGGGACATGAAGAGAGGGAGCAGCTGAGGACTGCAGATTCATGGAAAGAGAGTGACTGAAAGCTGGCGGCCACAAGGCACACTTGCAGAATGTGCCCTTTGGTGGTGTAAATTATTATATATGCATGGGTATTTAAAAAAAAAAAGCTAAAATGAATAGAGAGAAATACTGTTAACTGATGTACATGGAGGGGATTATAATCATTGTAATGAAACAAAGTATATGATTTGTTGAATGTAAAACTGATGATCTGCCCTGTAAACTTTCACTCAATTCACATTAAAAACTTAAAAAGAAAAAAGAAGAAGATAATGGGATGAATGAACTGTCCCATGGACTGATGGTACAAGTGACCATCAGTCTCCACAACTCTGAGACCAAAGAACTAATGGGTACTCAGCTACCACTACTAGCTGCTGAAAGGGGTCACATTAGAAGGTCCCAGATAAAGTGTGAAAAAATGTAGAACAAAACTCAAAATTAAAAAAAAAAGGACCTTGCTTACTGGTCAGAAAGAGACTGGAGGAACCTGAGAGTGTGGCCCTCAAGTACTCTTCAGGACTAGAATGAACTCACCCTCTGGTCCAATTTTCAGCCAAGTGGTAGACAGTCATATAGGAGGGCAACACTAGTAAGGTATACTCCCCATGGAACTGTCAGTCATTCAAGGTCAAAAGGGCCAAATTGAGAAAAGATGGGAGGAGGGTGGAATGGAACTAAGAACCAAGGGAGGGCTTAAGGTAACTGCTGTTGGATAGGAGGGATTGCCATCATTGAAATGAAGCCAAGTGCAGGGTTTGTTAAATGTAAAACTGATGATGATCTCTGTAAACCTTCACTCAACTCACAATAGTTTCAAAACAACCAAACAAAAAAGATAATGGGATTTTTCCACAAAAGTTTTAAAGTTCCCGCATCAGCTAAAGAACAGCAACTGAGGCTGGCTTCTAGTACAAAAGACATGAAAACCAACACAATGTTGGTAGCACAAGGAAAATGTCAAAGCCTATTGCTGAACCGAAACTACACAGCATGGCACACAGAATACAGGATCTTCCCGGTTAAGACTGGTGCGCAACTAAAAATACAGCCCATCTGTATGAAACCAAAATGGCAACATTTCCTCTAAAACAAAGGTGAGAAGAGAAGGGGCCAGTGGAACTAGATTACTAGAAATGGAGCAACTATTCAAAGAGGATAACTATTTAAAGTTAGTGAAAATTGTAACATCACTGAACAATTGGTGTGGAAATTGTCAAATGGAACCTATCTTGTGTAAAAGTACCAAAACATAATAAAATATACTTCAAAACAGGAAAACCAAGCAATCCCTATTGTTAATATCCTCAAGGTGGTAAGAGAAGATTCTGCATTCAGTAAACAAACTAATGCCATTTTAAATGAATTAATTCAAGGACAGGATAGAATTTTAGAAATTAAGATCAAAGAGTTCTAATACGCAAAGAAGGAGCTCCAGAAAAAGATGAAAAAAAAGGAGAGAAATAATAAAGCATCAAAACAATTAAGGAATTTTTCTCGAAGCCAAAGGACACTGAAAGGTCTTGCAGAATATTCAGAAGACAAGTGCACACGGCACATTGGCAGGAAGATTTAGAACACAAGGGACAGAGAGAAGATCCACAAGCTTCCAAAGAGGCAGGGAAAGAGATTTCACTCTAAAGGTGGGTAATCAGTATGGCATCAAACTTCTAAAAAGTGACACGAGAAACTGTAACACAATGGAACAATGCCTTCAATATGTTAAGGGGAAAAAATCCCTATGTCAGTATGAAGGGCAGCAGCTATCCATCTTCAGACATGACTCTGACATCACATGCTTTCTTAGAACATTCTGGCAGATATGCCCAAGGCAGCAGAACCAGACATGGGATTCAAAACAAGAGTGAGGTGAAGAGAGAGCCAAGAAAACAGCTATACAGCATGACCAATCAGGACTGAAGCTTGTAACATTTCAAAAAGATGATGAAATTGATAGTACCAGAAGAAAACCTAACTGACTGACCATTTGGGGAGACTTCCACAATTAGGGCAAAATCCAATTTTGAAACAAAACAACAATGGCAATTATTAACTCCAGGGAAAAGAAAAGCAAAATGGAAAAATTATAGGGTTCTGCTCTGGTAGCATAATGGTTATGAGTCGGGCTGCTAACCTCAAGGTCAGCGGTTTGAAACTACCAGCTGTTCTGCAGGAGAAAGATGAGGCTTTCTGCTCCCGTAAAGATTTACAGGCTCGGAAACCCTATCCAGGGTCACTATGAGTCAGAACCGACTCTACACAGTACTTATAACAACAACAACAACATGGAGTCCTGGTGTGGTGCTGTAGGATAAGCACTGGACTGCAAGGTTGGTTTGAACTTCAAGGTCAGCAGTTGAAAGCCACCATTTACTCCTCAGAAACACTATACAGGGTCGCTATGAGTCAGACCCACTCAAAAGCACTGAACAACGTGATTCACGGCTGGAACTGCAGCTGCCTTGGCAGGGACAGACCAAATGATTGCTGGGCTTTATGTTCCCCACCCTTGACTTAAAGCAACACAGAAAAGGAGAATCAGGAATAGGAGGGTATGGAATGTGTGGCTAATTGACCCCCTCTGCAGGGAGATCAGAAGACTAGATGGTTGTCCGGCTTCTATTACTGAACAGAATGCTGATCCAAAGACAGAAAATGCAGAAAAGTCTCTAAATTTTCTAGAGCCATCGAGGATGGAAACTATTGCCTTGAGATAATCTTTAAACCTTAAACCAAAAACATCCCTTGAAGTCTTCTTAAAACCTCAACAATCATTTAGCTTAACTAATAAAAAATGTCTTCCTTGAGCATTGTATACTCCTTTAAAAATTAACTATAAGGGATCAAATGGACAACAGCAACTTCAAAGATTAGATAGGAACCTTAGCAGTGAGTTTATGCAAGTGAGGGAGAACAACTCTGAAGACTAATGTGAGGATGGTTGTACAACTAAAAAAAAAAAAAAAAAATGCAATCAATATCCCTGTATCATACATGAAGAAACTGTTGGAATTGGTGTATAAAATATATCTTATTGTGTATATTCTCAACAACAGAGTCCTAGTGTGGCGCTGTGGGTTAAAGCGCTGGACTGCAAAGTCAGTTTGAACTGTAAGGTCAGTGGTTCAAGCTTACCAGCTGCTCCTCCAAAACCCTATGCAGGGTCATTATGGGTCGGAACCGACTAGACGTAACTTAACAACAACCATTCTCAACAAGATAAAAAAAAAAAAGAGACTTCTGACAACACAAAGCCCACACAGGTAGTAAGAAGCTAAGCAGTGAACACTCCTAAGCAGGTTTCCCAGTTCACTACAGGCCCATCCAGCTGTCCCCTTTCTGTGAATGGCCTGGCCTCTGCCTTTGGCACCCCTGGTGTGCAAAGATGCTGCTGTTGTGAAGTGCTGTGGAGCTAGGCCCAACTCGTTGTGACCCGGTAGAGGATTTTCCAGGAGCTGCTGGTGCATTAACCCACAGCACCACACCAGGACTCCACAGATACCCAGATCCAAGAAGTATCTGGATACCCATTCACCCAAACCCAAGTTTTTCATGAAGCCCTCATTCCAGGTGATTCCATGGAAACAGGTCCAAGTTCTCATGCTCATCTGGGGAAAACTAATGGCTCGGAGCTAGCTTCTAACTACTGTAAACAGTCTAGCAGTTCGGGCCCCTCCTTCCACAGTGAATTTTCTCCCTGCCTCATTCTGGTCATTTACTCTTCTCCTATCCTGACCTACAGATCTTGGGACCCAAGCCTGCAGAAGTCTCCAGTCCAACACCTAATCAACAGATTTTGGATTTGCCAGCTCCTCACAATCCCACCTATTCCACAGAATTCTCAAGCACAAGGCATTTTTCTCCATCACTGCTGAGTTCACAGAACACAGGGTTAGGTCTGGTATATTCAAAAGGCACTAAATGCATCATCACTTCACATCTGAAGAGCAGAAAGTACTGCAATGGTTTAAAAGTTCAATTTGAATTTTGCACTTAGGAACACCCATCAATGAGCATCGACCCTGCTGAAAAGTTTGGGGTAGCAACCGCAGGCCCTACAAAAGAGAATCACTTTCACAAACTCTAGTTACACCCTGGTACTCTGGACAAATAACCTTTATCTCCTTTCTCCTTGTCACGGTGGCAATACGACAAAACACGTATGAGAAGCATTTAGAATCGGCCAGACGTACAACAACTGTACTTCATCCTCTTCCTTTGATCAGCCCATCTGTTTGATTGCACTGAAGGCACAATTCGTCCAAAGCCCACAGATGCAACAGCTGTGACTTGTGAGCTGGGTTCTGGCCCCTCACTGAAGCCACCTAACCCTACCACCCCTCACCTGCCGGGCACGAGTAACGGGGCTGCTGGCCTCTCTAAACTTTTTAATTCAGGGGCGTCCACCACCGTGCAGCCAGCTCACCACCGCAGTCACTACTGCAAGTCTGGGCAGAGCACCCCGCCAACCCTCCCCAAGGCCACGGCTCTGGGGTCAGCTGCTCTCCCCATCTCGCCGTGGGACCTGGAGCAGCAGCAGCAGCCTCCATCAGCGGAAACCACGTTATTAACGTTACAACAGTGATCGCTTTATTGTTTACGAGGTCGGCGGGGCGGCCTCAGACTGACCTGGCGCCCTCGCCCAATTCCCCGTGCGTGTTATAATTCACGGTCATGACCTTCACGGAGTCCTTGAACACCACGTTACCCTGGCCCAGGTACTGCAGGGTGCGGCGGATGGGGAAGCGGCCCTTCATAGGCATGGCGACAGCGGCGGAGGCGCCCGATCGGAGTGCGGAGAGAAGAGAGCAACCACAGCCTTCCGGGGGACCTCACGCCGCGCTGCGCGCCTGCCTCTCGCGCAGACTCACGGGACAATCCCGACATGCAACGCGCACTGCACAGCTACCTGGGAAGGTGAGGGCGTTCAGTCTCGGTCTGCCCCACCCATTCCTACTCGCGGCGACTCTACACCGAAGTAGAGGGTCATGCTGCGGTTGGGTAGATTCTGACTCATCGCGAGCCTGTAGGACACAGCTGATCTATTCCATAGGGTCCCCGAGGCTATAAATCCTTGTGGAAGCCGACTACCTCATCTTTCTCCCTCGGGGGATGGTGGATTCCAACCACGGGGGTTTTGTTTAGCATCCCCCAAAGCCTCAATTGTTCAGCGGCTCCGAGTGGTTCAGACTCAGCTGGTGGGTTTGAACTGCCAACCTCGCAGCCCAGTGCTTATCCTTATAGCGCCACACAAGGAAAACACACACACACACGGAAAACCTTTTAAAATAGACTCAGGCTTCAGATACCAGGTCCACTGATAATCTCAATAAATGCTTTTTTCTTTCTTTCTTAAATTCTCCAGGATTTGAATTGAAATTACAGGGTCGCTATGGGTCAGAACCGACCCCACGGCACTTAACAACAACATCATTAACAATACATAAATTTACAAAAGAAAACAAATATTTAGGATCTACTCCTTAGTTCAAGGAGCTCTGATAGCGTAGTGGTTACAAATCGAGCTGCAAATTGCAAGGTCAGCAGTTCGAAATACCAGCTGTTCCGCAGGATTGTTGTTATGTGCTATCGAGTCGGTTCCGACCCATAGCGACCCTGTATAGGGTTTCCGAGGGTGTAAATCTTTACGGGAGTAGAAAGTCTCATCTTTCTCCCGCCGAGCAGCTGGTAATTTCGAACCGCTGACCTTAAGGTTCGCAGCCCAATTCGTAACCACTACGCTACCAGAGCTCCTTGTTCCGCAGAATAAAGATGAGGTATTCTGCTCCCATAAAGATTTACAGCCTCGGAAAAGCTGTACGGGGTCGCTCCACGTCACACAGCCGTGTGTTTTAAGTTCAGCCACTTAAAACTCTGGACCCCAGTTTTGTGGTGAGCAAAACGTGGGTAAATTGTATTTTTTAAGTACTCTTCTTTGTCTGAAAACCTTTTTAATCTGAAGGATAATTTCACTGTAAACATAATTTGAGTTTGGCGGGCTTTTGCTTTCAACACTAGACATTTTACTCCTTGCTCTTTTTGCTCATGACTTCCAACAAGAAATCTGCTAGAATTCTTACCCATTTCTTTATACCGTGAGTTTTTCCTCTAGCTTTTTACAATATTTTCTGTCTTTGTTGTATGCAGTTTGAATACATAAGGGGGCTTCAGAAAATTCGTGGGAAATTTCCATTATCCTTTAATTCCGTTTTCCACGAACTTTTTGAAGCCCCTTTATACTTCAGTATGCTTGGTGGTGGTGTGTCGTGGAGTCAGTTCCGACTCATAGTGACGCTGGACAGGGTTTCCAAGGCTGTCAATCTTTATGGGAGCAGAAAGCCTCATCTTTCTCCCACGGAAAGGCTGGTAGGTTCGATCTGTTGAGTTAGCAGCCCAAATGTAACCACAATGTTACCAGAGCTATTTTTTTTTTTTTTTTAATTTAAGATTTTTAAAGGCGCTCTGGTAGCGTAGTGGTTTCGAATCGGGCTGCGAACCTTAAGGTCAGCGGTTCGAAACTACCAGCCGCTCCGCTGGAGAAAGATGAGACTTTCTACTCCCATAAAGATTTACACCCTCGGAAACCCTGTACAGGGTCGCTATGGGTCGGACCGACTCAACGGCACTTAACAACAACAACAACAACATTGTGGATTGAGTGAAAGTTTACAGGGCTCATCATCAGTATCACATGCAACAATTCATGTAACTTGTTTCCTTACATTGATTATAATCCCCTAGTGGTTACGAATCGGGCTGCGAACCTTAAGGTCAGCGGTTCGAAACTACCAGCCGCTCCGCGGGAGAAAGATGAGGCTTTCTACTCCTGTAAGGATTTACACCCTCGGAAACCCTGTACAGGGTCGTTATGGGTCGGACCCGACTCGATGGCACTTAACAACAACAACAACATATACCATCAGTTAAAAGTATTTCTCTCTATCCACTTTAGCTTTTTTTAAAAAACATACAAACAAAAACACCCACTCAGGCATATATAATAATTTACATCTCCAAAGGGAACATTCTGCAAGTCTGCTCCTGGCCACCAGTTCTTAGTCCTTCTCTTTTTAGTTGATAAATCTAGAGTCCTCGGCCACTCCCTCTCTCCATGCCCCCATCTCTGCCTCCATCTCTGGCACTGCTGCTTCTCTGGATAAGGTCCCGCATATTGTTTGTGTGCTTATCTCTTGATGGACCTAGGGTCCTCTGTTTCTGGATTTAAGATTAACCACTCCCCTTTATTTGTTACAAATCTTCTGCCTTTACAAGTGTGACAGTCGCGTTAGTCATGATAAGTTATTCACTATTGAATCTTTTGAATCTTATCCCCATCTCCTTTCACCAGACCCATCTAGACAAGATGATAGATAGCTATTCAGTGGGGACTCTTTCTTTCACCCCACCCTCTTAAACTAAGCTCCCTCTTGAAACCTTGCAAGCCAGTCACTTTGTGCCTTTATTACCCCCTCATTTTAGATAGCCAATGTCTAAGTTGCCCGTCCCTATCTACCCTGTGCACAGAGCAGATAGCATTGATACTTGAAGACTCTTTCCCTCTCTGTTGGTATTTAGAGTAACTACCCAGAGCTAAATATATATCTTGCTTGATTTCTTTGAGTTTCTAGGATCAGTGGTTTGGTGTCTGTCATTAATTTTGTAAAGTTCTTGGCTGTTACTACTTCAAATTTTTCTTCCTTTTTTTCTTCTGTTATTTTTGTTGTGAGATGGAATGAGCCGGAAAACAAACACCCACGTGTAAGGCTTTATTGGAGGTCAGAAGGAAAGAGAGAGAGAGGTATTGCAGGGGGAAGGATTTTTATACTGGTCGAAGAGGAGGGCGGGGTTGAGAATAGTGGAGGTAGGTGATAGGTTGACTAGGGATGACAATCCGGTAGGGAGAGAGGAAGTGCCGGTAGGGAGAAAGAAAGTTCCGGTAGGGAGAGAGAAAACGCACGCGGTAAGCAGCCATTTTATTATGCATGTAGCTTAGGGATTCTATCATTCCAGCCTTTTGTTGTTATGGGTACAGAGGCAGAGGTAATTTCTTCTGGAGCTGCTTCCTGCTGGAAGGGGGTAAAGAGGAGGGAACTTTGTATCTGGCATGTTCTTCTGGCTGGCAGGTCCTGTTGCTTGGCAGTGGTTGGTATCCGGCCATGAGGAATTCATCCACTGTCTGGTTTGGGAAGGCCCTCAGGCGTTCCTGAAGGAAACTTTGAAGACAGCGAAACAGGCAGGGGCCAAATAACAGTATCAGGAGGATCATAGTTAATGACCCTAGGAAGGGGAGGAGCCAAGGCCACCAGGAGGCCATTAGGGTCCAACCATAGTTTGCTGTTTCTGATTGCCTAGTTGTAATTCTGTCCTTTAATTCTTTTACCTTGTTGAGGACTATGTCAGACTCATTGACATAATAACAACATTCCTCACCCAGGGTCTGGCATATTCCTCCTTTCTTGGCTGTGAGGAGGTCTAAACCGTGTCGATTTTGGAGTACTACTTCAGCTAGTGAGTTAACTTGATTTTGTAAGGCAAGGAGGGTGTCTGCTACCCTCTCCATGTCCCCGTTCAGGGCTTCTGATAATCTTTGGAATAGATATATGGATGTTCCTATACCTCCCACTCCCAGAAGGCTGCCAATTCCTATTCCTTTGGCTACCCCTGTTGCTCGGCGAGTGTGATGAGAAGGGAGGAATATGGTATCCATATCAGATGGGGTTAAGATTTGGGCAACAGGGATTAAATACATGACCCCACACAGGCGTAGTGTGGGTTGTTGTTGTTGTTGTTAAGTGCCGTCGAGTCGGTTCCGACCCATAGTGTGGGTAGGCATTTGAAAATTTCTTTTCCACATAAGAAAACTATTCCTTTCAGCCCACATGTTGGGTTGCTTACCTTTGTTAGGACAGTACACTAGGAGTTTGGAAGGGAGAGGGAGGAAAGGTTAGTGATGTTGTTTTGGTCATGAATACAGGTGAGGTTGATGGAATTAATGAGGCCAATCTCTGTGAGGAGAGGTCCTGTGTACTGTATGGTGGTTGTATTAGGATATGATTTAGGGACTGGGTCGGCAGGGAATGGCTGAGGACCCCAGGTCCCTATAGGGCAAACAAACCCAGCATGAGGTTTTATTGAATATGGTTCCTATTTCAGTGATTAGCGTCCCATGGGGTTGGCGGATGCTCTCGGGATCTAGCCACATTCGTAATCCTTTATATTCTGGGTCTAGCCGTTGTGTGAAGTTCTTTGCAGCTTCTACACTGATCTTTTTCCTCGCCACATCTGCCACCCCCCCCAACCCTCATCTGACATCCCTATTTGGGTTTGATATGTCCAGCGGATAGGCTTGTTGCATGACCTTTTGCACGCTGTGGATTGGGAAGCCATGCAGTTAGAGAGTTTGGGTAGGTACCATACTCTGATTCCGCAAAACTGCTTGGGTACAGGTGTTTGTCCCAGCTAGCAAGCAGAGTGCATCAAGGTCAGGACACTGGAGCAATCCGTGGCTGTATGAGGGGTTGAGCATGTTTTGCCATTTTGGCTAAGGCACGATCTGATCATCAAGATTGAGATAAAGAGTATGGAGAGCATACTGGGATGATGGCAAGTCCCCCTATGAGGAGAAAGAGTAAGGCAAAGAGTATTCGAGAATGGTGAGGCCACCTGGGGGGGTGAGACAGAGAAGAGGCCTACTGCAAGGATGATAGATAGTGCCCCGAAGGGGGCGAGGAAGGTATGTCTAAGGGAGTATGTGGAGGTAGGGCTAGCCAGCAGAGGA